TAGAACGTTTCAATTGGCGATGGCTTCGTTCTTGATGCACCAGTAACGAAAACGATGAAAACATTTTGGCTACTGGAGAATGATTGGCACGCCGCGTACACATTGGCTATCTTTAGAGTGCCGTGTCTATCTAAATAATCCTAGCTGTTATCTTTTTTTAAAAGTGTTGGGCATTGTCACTGGCCTAAGTTCTGTGTTTCGAGATCCGGTTTTTTTTTTGTTTCTTTTTTTTTTTTTTTGTCTTGTTTAGAAGAAATTATATTTCACGAGTCGTCTGGAAGAACCTCAGTGCCACTGCTGCGGCAACCTTAAAACGCGTTATAAAAAAAAAAGAAAGAAAGAAAAAAAGATTGGTAAGAATGTCCCGCGCAAGGTTCTCACTTTGGTTTGGTCGGGCACAAAAAGAACGGAACAAAGGAGAGAATCACGTAGACGTAGGGTTTGGTCGATTTACTAAATAGACGACGTGGGAATGACCTCGTATTTTCGCTAAAGTGTCCGCATGGGTACTGTGACAGTTCAGGTATCATGTATCAGAACAACACAAGCGTTCCAGTTCGGCGTTTCTGCGGTCATCTCACATTCGCCATAAACCCTATACATTGTTTATCTCCGCTAGTTTGCATTCAGACTTTTTTTTTAATCACATCAACTCATTTTTCGTTTTCGTTTTTAACGATGACCTGATGCTTTTCGAGAGTATTATTTCCTTTTCTCGGTGCGTTGTTAGACTGCTCTTTTCTGACATTTGGTTCATCAACTGGCTTTGCACCACCGTTCTAGGCCTCTGGCAGTTGGTGGGCACTGTAAATAAGTAAATAATTAGCAGCTGGAGTATCGATCCGACAAGGACGCGCAATGCATGTCACAACGGGTATTCAAGAGACAGGAGCTACATACCTCCAAAACACGAATTCAATGTTTCAAAAATCCAGGTTATTTTTTTTTCTTTCTTGCCGCTCGTTGTCGAACACTCAGCCTCCTCCCAAATGTAGCGCTACCGGTCTGAACCGAATGCCAAAGCTTTTGAACTAACTTGGGACATGCTCTTGGTAGCTCGCGCCATTCACTCTCATGCATTCGAGGACTGTCAGCTGCCATTTTAACTCCCATCAAAATTTTAAAAACAAAAAAACAAAAGGTACACAACTTTTGAATAAGATAACGGTTAGTTCTGAAACATTCACATCATTGTATGGGACGGCTAGTGCTGAATTGGGGTGGAAAACGATCGCTCAACAATGTGTAATTTATTTTTGCAAAAAAAAAAATACTATTTCCGACGTTTTGTGTAAATAGTTGGTAACAGCCTCAAAAACGCCGGGAATGGTGGATCCTGAGCATCTCATCATCGCTCCGGAGCCAATGAGACTCCAACACTGGCCGATAAGAACGCCGATCACGAAGTGCGTTAACGTATTATCAAGCCAGGCCCCTCGCTTCTTAAAGACATGGCAAAGAAGCAGAGGAAAGCAGCCTCCACGTTACGTGGCATTATAGTGAAGCGCTGCCCGTTCCAACCTATTCTATATAATGCACCCGCATCGTCTTGGCGACGTCTGCACCTTCCCGCGCTGTCCTGTTCCTCCTCCATCTCGCTCCCGAGTATAAGGTTTGGCACCTCGACATTCGAAACCCACCCACGTCCAACGTTGCTCTGAATGTCTTTCCTGCCATTCGAACAGGAGGTGCTGCTCGGGTGCAATTTTGTGCTCCGCACTTGTAAACGGCAAGAACGGCAACACACCGCCATGTTTTTGTTGTTGTTGTTGTTGTTTTTTCTCGTTTATTTGCTTTAGGAGATGCCTCTACGAAGCGTCTGTGTTCGACGGTCCGAAAATCGCTACGGGACGATATTCACCAATGCCAGTAATTTATAAAATCTACGTGAGAAGTATGTTTCGTTCGTCTTGTTATCGGACTGCTCTTCGCTCGCTGGCGAGTCGAGAAGACGCGTAGTGCAATTAAAATGTTTGCGGCCCCCTTCAGCAGCGCATGGAGGGAATCTGTGTTCCATATTTTCAAGTCTCGCGTTAAAAAAAAAAAAAAGAAATGTTTACGCCGATTGTGGCTTTGAAACGTTTTGTATGGCGCTGTGCTCATGTAAGCCGACATTGAATAGAAAGGTTGGCTGCTACACGAGATGTCTATGCCTGCCTGGCAGTGGTCTACGCAAAGTGGTTCTTCCAGGGGCCGCACCGTGGCGCCACTTTCTTGTCGCACGTCTCCAATAGACGGCGGCAGCAAACCCTGTCACTTTAGGGTTAGTGTACGCACTAAACGAACGTCCCTGAGATGAGGGGTTGGGGACCCTCCCCGCACGGCGGTCCCCTTTAGGTACACGTCCGGCGAGTGTATCTGGCGTGTATGAAAACCTCGGGACAATGAAACGCGAGCCCGATTTTGGGGCTCTTTGTGGGCTTCTTTGAGCGGGCGGGGGTTAGGATGCGAATAAAGCGATTTGCCGTCGGGGTGGGGGACCGCCAATGCAAATCCCAACGACGCCCTGCTTCCTGATTTGTGCACGCTCAAGAGTGACACAAGATTAACTCGCGGACGTTTTTTTTTTTATTTATGTATTTATTTTTGCTCGTATATGAGGGTTTTAGATCGGCGCGTCTGTTCACAACTTCGTACGACGGCTCAAAATGTTTCGTCGTCTTAAACAACGTAAAACTCCATTTCAGATTTTTTTTTTAGGTTGTTATTGTTTACGATCTTAGAATGAGACACTAAAAGAAGGCGCGCAGAAAACTTGTATTCAAATCTTGATACGGATCGAGGGTAAGTAATTAAAATTCTTTTGGTATTTTTTGTTTGCTTTGTTACATACATTTTTATTTTATTTTTTGTACTTTTGTATCGAGAAAGCACGGAAGCCTTTACTTTTTATACGGGGGGGGGGGGGGGGGGGGGACTTTGAAACCAGAATATCGATAAAATGCTCAAATATTTTAACCGAATGCCCACAACACAAAACATTGTGCCACATTTTTAGGACCTCTCTCGTTGTTGTTTCGTTACAGTGAGCTGCGACTGGCTAATCGTTTTCGTCGTCCTTACAGGAGTTCTGTACATAACAAGTGCTCGTGTAACGTTTAAACTGAAAAAAAAAAAGAATTTTTAAAAAAGCATTTTTTTTCAGTTTTGCGAAGCAAGCTACGCTAAACTTTATAAAACAAATCTAAAAAAAAAAGAGGAAAACGTAATATCGAGAAATGTGATGCGTTTTTTCTTCTTTTTTTTTTTTTAATGCTGACACACCGAAAGCAACAACCGAAGTCAAGATGCATCTGGGAACATTCGGCCCTTGCTCAGTTAATTTATCGAATTCTGGTCTGGTTGTGAGCTTTGGTCATTTGGTGGCGTCCCCAGCCCGTGCTATGGTGCCTCGATGCGCAGCCAACAACATTAAGGCACTCCGGTCCACGCCACCGTTCCACGCCGATCTGAACGACCGACGACTAAACCGGAATGAACGACTACTTTTCCCCCTCGTTCTCAAACAACTACGCCACCTCCGCGCTCGCATATCTTTGCGTGTTGTTTCTACGGGCAGTCTACATGTCAGTACTGTCGAGACCGGTTATAACGAAGTCGGTTATAACGAAATAGAGGCTACAGCGAAGCAATAACGATTTCCCATTCCCTTTTGCACTTCGTTATAACCGAAGTCGGTTATAACGAAATAGCGGATATAGCGAAGTGACTTCCGATTCCGGTTGACTTCGTTATAAGTTGTAACCGGTCTCGACAGCGTTTCTTCTGTGCAGCGGCATTAGGCTGTTTTACAGCGGCATTAGGTTGTTTTACAGTGCTTTGGTCACATTTTTTTCACGATGAAAATTATTTTCGTCAAGCGGTCATTTACTGTTGTATATATTTAGGCGAATGATGAAATTGAAAAATTTTATTTTAGTGCGTTGATGACGTCGTAGAAACCTGAACGAATTTGCAGCTCTAAGAAAAAAAATCAAAAGAGCGAAAAGTAGCGGGAAATGCTCCCGAATTTCTGAAGTGTCGAAGTTGCCTCACACATTTGGATTTAAAGCCTAACTCTGAAAATGCAGGAGGGGGGCGGGGGGCTGTTGTTACAGCAAGTTCAAAGGTTTTGAAAATATCTGCCACAGAGAACAAAACTCGAATCTGCAAATATGGTTATTTGGCATGCCTGGCTTAAAGCGATTCCCAAACGACATCTGATATTAACAGTGAGGCTGCTTAGCAGGGCTCTTAATATCACAACACAGAGGTATCATCGAAGGATCCAAAATATTGCCTGAGTGGAGCCTACAGCTTACAACAGAATATTTATTCACCAATAGCAATTCTATCTGTATGAAAATTATTTATAGATTTCGGAGTATTTCCGATTCTAGATATGCAGGGAAAGTTTATTACACCTTATGTAAAACAAAAACCCCTTTTCATATCTTTCTTCACCACACGCGCAGAGCAGCTCTGTTTCGTAGGATTAAGTGTTTCTAACACCACACGCGCATAAAACCCATGTCTTAACAATCATGAAACGTGTATTCACACATAAGATTAACCACCTACGAATCATGCTCACTTGCTTCAGTTCAATAGTCAGGGTGCAATTCCAAAGGGTGCTTCACCGTGTGCTCCTGTGTGTTAGGTGAAGCTCGCCTTCGTTGAAGCACGAAAGAACTTTGCCACACGAAAGCGCTCTCGTACCCAGGATTTCGTCTGACAAACACGCCCGGGAAAACTTTGTTTGAGAGAAAGCACCACATGGAGTAGTACTTAATACTCGTGCTTTTTTTTTTTTTTTTTTTTTTTTTTTTTTTTTTACTTCTAGATGGCGAGACCAACGGCGTAAGCGCCATAATACGCTCATGGACGAGCCGGTGCCCACCAGCGAAGGTTCCGACCTGGCAGACCTCGACGTCGAAGACGACGACTACGACGACGTCGGCGTCGGTCCCGCGACATCCAAGAAAGCTGCGGATCCCTTAGGATTTTCAATCGAACGCATCATGGCTCCCGACAAGTCCAGCAAAAGCCACAGCAGCTGTCCCCTGACGCTCATGCTCAACGACTGGCGCCGAAAACTTCAGGCCTCCGGTTCCTGGATACGCCCCGTCCTACCGTACGGCCCTTCCGGATCAAGCATAGACCGCCAAGACTCGACCCTCGCCCTGGGCATCGCCACCACCGCTCTCAGTCAACTGGCGAGGCTACACCAGGGCCCCAGGCTCGTCTACCCGTGGCTGCATCACTCGTCAGACGGACTGTCGTCGCTGGCAGCTTCGGGGCTTCCTCCGGCGCACGCGGAGCCGAGACTAGTACGGCCCCAGCCGCGACTCGCCACGACGGCCGCGGAGAGCACGAAGTCGTCCAAGCACGACCCGGACAAGCAGAATGGAGGGAAGCAGAAGACTTTTACGTGCTCCGAGTGCGGCAAGGTGTTCAACGCGCACTACAACCTGACGCGGCACATGCCGGTGCATACGGGCGCCCGGCCATTCGTGTGCAAGGTGTGCGGCAAGGGCTTCCGGCAGGCGAGCACCTTGTGTCGGCACAAGATCATCCACACGCAGGAGAAGCCCCACAAGTGCGCCACGTGCGGCAAGGCCTTCAACAGGAGTTCGACGCTGAACACGCACGTGCGCATTCACGCGGGCTTCAAGCCCTGGGTGTGCGAGTACTGCGGCAAGGGCTTCCACCAGAAGGGCAACTACAAGAACCACCGGCTCACCCACACGGGCGAGAAGGCGTACAAGTGCACCATCTGCAACAAGGCGTTCCACCAGGTGTACAACCTGACGTTTCACATGCACACGCACAACGACAAGAAGCCGTACACGTGCAAGGTGTGCGGCAAGGGGTTCTGCAGGAACTTTGACCTCAAGAAGCACTCCAGGAAGCTTCACGAGACCGGCGTGTCCAGCACAGCTCCGCGTCGCCTGTCACCCGACGACGGCCCTCGGCTTCAGCTGCAAGTCGGCCCGTTCGTTGGGCCCTCGGGCATCCTCGTCGACCCCGCCGCCATCGCCGGGATGCTCTGATCAGGCACGGCCTGTTCTGGGTGGTCCGACTTTCATCGTTGAACTGTTCATAGGACTGGTATCTGTGCACGCCAATACTTACACGCTAAACCTCCTTAGACCCCTGCTGGTGGTGTTAGTGAATGGTCTTACAGCTGCATGATATCGCTCTGACCCTTAGAACAAATCACCAGAAGCATGACAGCGATATTTCCCGTCACCTATGTCGACTGCTCTAGTTCACGTGTGAATGCTAGACCGCCTACTTTCATTTCTTATTCTGGTGTGCTGGGAGAAAGCAAGAGATCTTTTACAGTGGCAGCGTATAGGAGCGAGTGAGTCTGAATAGGATATTGTACCAGCAGCAGCAGTTTTGCGAATGGGCCTCAAGCGCCACTGCGAAAGCGCCTTATATTTCCCGCCGCAAAAGCTACAAGCGCGAGCGGACCGTTGAAGGGTGTTCCGGTTACATGCGGGTTTGGCCAGCCGGTTTATTTTCTAAAGCAAGGAGCTCGCGTTTATAACATTAGTTGTCCACTCTAATCAAGGTGCGCATAACTGCTTTAGGAGTCAGTATATCGTCTTATTTATTGAGAGGTCATTAGTCTTACAACCGCTTATTCTGTGCTCAGAACAAGCGTACTTAAACCAGTAAAGCGGTCAAATGAGTCACAGAGTAGAACGCCATAGTACCGTCACCCTGGTACTATGACACGATGATACTTCAGTTATGACTTGTAAGTCCGGTCATAAATACTCACACTTTTGTCAGGCAGTTCCGTGTGCACAGGGCGCAGCGAATCTTCAATAATTCCGGATTAGGAGAGCGAACTAAGCTTCCAGGCGCTCGTAATGTCCCTACTGAAACTGGTATCAACGATGCGATGATGATTTATCATTTCCGCTGCTGACACGCGTCTACATCCGGGGCATACGGGCTGCGTATTAATAAATGACCCCTTTAAGGAGCCCGTATGCGCCGGTAACTGTAACATATAGTCGCGACGCAATAGCACCTGCAATAATAGTTGCATTGTACAGAAAGGAATGGTTTAGAGAGAAAGATTACGCTAAGAGTGTAGTATACGCGTTATTTATTAAAGCAATAACACAGTGGACGCTGTTTGTCTCTTGCGTTCTTTTCCTTTAGAAAACAAGTTCTTGTCATGTTGAGAAACACGTAAGTATTTTATTTATATCTTCACTCGTTTATTTATAAATACTGCATGTCTCTTCATGGAATTTTTTGCTAAGTGGGTTACAGTTGTGGTATAACAAACTGACAAAAAAATGCAAATTTGCTGATAAAAAAAGAAACAATCAGACAAACACTTGGACCGAGAAGACTGATTACGTAAGGAGGGATGCGGATGATGACAACGACAGATGTAAGATTACACTATTAATGATGTTATTTCAGTCACTTAGTGTTCTCGTAAAAACGTAAACTTAAAACAGTTGTTACCCGAGCAAAAAGGAGTTATTACTTCATGTCTTTATCTAATGGCATATCTTGAATAGAGATCAATTATTTCACAACGGCGGTTTTGTTATATGTGGCTAATTCACGTTATAGTCTGAATTATGTAAAGGTCGCGATTTCTTAGGTTCATTTCTTTTCACCTTAGCTCCAAGCGCGGCCGATGTTATGAGCCGGAGGGTCCATCAAACAGCGCAAAAAGCGCAACGTCATCGCGTGATATCTCGTCCTCTGCGGAGAACACGCCATACTGTTGGGCCTTTTTTGCTGTTTGGTTGGTCCTTCAATTCATAGCATAAGCCGCGTTCGGATCAATGTGAAACCAAGAATAGTACAAAAAATAAAGTGCACCATTTTTTTTTGTACATATTTCAGAAAATAATAACGCCGTCGGGACCTAATATGTGGTAAACAAACGCGAAGATGGAAAATAACACTGAAATATGAGTAAACGATAAAAAGATGAGATGGTCGCTCAAATTCAGCGAATGCAAGTTTTTCGGTTAGGTACAAATAGAGTAGCGGAAAAGAGAAATACGGAAGAGATCAGAGAGGACAGGCGCTAACTATGAAGTAAAAAATATCGCGGTACACGTAAGCACTTCTTATGAGTTGTGAATGCGAAAGCATGCAAGCCGCTTGTCCGCTCCTTTTTTCGTCTGCTGCGTACTTTTCGTCGCCGGTCGGTGCGTGTGCACCCTGCTCCCCAGGTGACCGTGGACGCTCCGCGCTGATGGACACGCAGCGCCATGGGGTGAGCGGTCGTGGAAACTGACGAGCGCAGCGGCCAAAGGGAGCCCCGTCGATGCGCGCCAGCCAATGGAATCGAAGGATACTATCTGCCATTTTCGCGCTTCAGACTGATGACGTCAGCTCGCTCCATGAGACAGTTGATGCTTTCGCATTGATAATAATAATAATAATTTTAATTTGCAGAGGACAGTTTCGCCTACTCAGCAGCGTGCAAGGCTAAACAGAAAGGTTAACACCCTTATGCGCAAGTGCGCCTGCGAGCTAGCTACTGAGTGGGCAAAACTCCGTTTCACATATGCGATCTTCTTAGTGTGACGAGTTCGAAAGTTGTCGAATTTTGTAGCAGGAATAATTGCGAACTTCGAAAACCACCGAATTTATTAGCGTGATAAGTTTGAAAATTGTCGAACTTCGTAACCCAAATAAATCAAAATTAAAAAAAAAAAAAAAAAAATCAAATTGTGTAGCGCGAAAAATTTGAAAATTTTTGGATATTACTTTTTATAAGTTCGAAAACGTTTGGAACATCTTTGAACTTATGTCTTCTGAAGACAAACCAGCATTAAACAGCTTTACCTTTTTGTTTTGTTCTTCCCCATTCATTACCCTGCACTCTTATATGCCTTTTTTAGCTCCACAAATTTTCTATAGAGACGTTGTTGCAGATATAATACTTTGCCAGCCAGAAACTTGTGGTAAAAAAATAACCGTCTGGAATAGACAAAACGACAGCAACTAGAAAGAACAAAAGCAGTTCAAAAATAAAACAACCACAAGTTAATTTAAATTGAAACATTAAATTTTATTTAAGCTGCACGATATGTGTACACCAAGAAAGAGAGTTCTGAAGATTGCTAACATCTTGCGTCCCATATGTGGATACAAACTGAAAACAAAATTCTATACACGTACCTGGAAGTAAATCTAAAGCAAAAGAGAGAATGATCATCCAGAGAAACAGGTATCTAAAGGAAGTTCAACGAATCAAAGTGAAACATATGCAGGTAGGAAAGAAACGTCACCAAGCAGACATGTACTTCTAGGCAAGGAGACATCTAAACCATCTATGTTGCAATATTCAAAAATGTTGTGGAAGTAGCAAAGGAGGAAGATTAAATGGGGGCAAAGCAGAAGTTGCGTGCTTGTAGAGCTGATAGCAACGCGCAAAAATACACAAAGGGAGGACTGGACAGGACGAGCGTCCATCGCTCCCTTTGTCTGTGTATTTTTTGCGCGCTGCTACTGGCGACGTGTGCGATCAAAACCGTTGGTGTGGTTGGCCTTCCACGATTGGCCGAATGCTGACTATGACATCAGCAAAGGTTTTCTCATCGACAGAAATAAGAGTAATATAAGAACTTCAATTTTGACGGTGTTGGTTCCAAGCTTCCACCTTGCTAATTACCAACACCATCAAACTTGTTCGCAAGGTAATGGCACCAAGGAAACCATAGCAGGGTGCCACCAAAACATCTCGCCTTCAGCACGAGCTTTCTGCCCATGCTAACACAAGTGTGAATGCGCAGTCATGCGCAACCAAAGCACTGCTGAAGCCAGCATGCTTGGGCTGAAGGCGGAGCTTCTAGTCTCAGCTTAAGGGTGAACAGTCTATACCAGCTTATATGAACCAACTGGCCTGCACACACTGACACATGTAGACGGTTTTGCAGACCAAAGTAGTCTGCAACCTGTCCTCACAAGAAAGCAGTTTCAGGCCTTAGTCTTCAAGTGCTGCCCCGAGATTCTGCACAGCTTACCCAGTTGCTAGATTCATATTACTTACACGGAGAACATGGATTCTAAACTTCAAAGGTCGAGCAAACAACTGACGTAAATTATTCCCTCCAAAATTTGCCAACTGAACGCTGCATACTTACAGGCTATTGCTTTCAGAGATAGCCAAAGGACTCGGGTACCAGGTAAAAGTAAACTGAAACACGCAGGCTGCATGCAGCTACCAAAGGGATTTGTTATGGACCATCAGTTTTTTCCAACTTGCAGCTCAAAGACTCTCATCAATTATCATACTTACTATAAATGTCCTGCTTCAATTGCATGCTTTCAAGTGCTACTATTACTAGCTGTAGAGTTCACAAAAAGCAGAACGTTCCCATGGCTTCAGAGGATGATGGTTCAGAGGAAGATGGAGAAATTGAAGAGTGAATATCTTTTGTGTTCCCCATCCACTGAATATTTGAAGGCCTGAAGCTATTCAAAAACGATGGCAGCCATTCACAAAGATTAACATAAAAGAGTCAGAGATGAAGCATGTTTCAGGGACTGCCACATTAGCTAAGCATAGTGGAATGTATCGTCTACGACTGCCATGTGCTTTAAAGGGGCGATGCAACGATTTTCATACTTTGTGCAAATACAGCTTAGGACGCATCGCTGATGTTAATGACTTATGAAACATGCGTTCCGTTTTTCACCACATGCAATAGAAGTCGAAGAAAGAATAAAATGACAACGAGCAGCTTTTAACCCCTCAACTTGCAGCCAGAACAAGCGGTAACATGATCTGGAGCCGATTACATGCTGCCAATGTGGATACTTAAAATCGAAAGAATAAAACACGGAGGACAAGCACAGGACAACCAAGTTCTTTTATTCTTTCGATTTTAAGTATTCATGTTCATCTTGCTCGCCTTTACCAATGTTGATCATAGCCACATACTGGGGTTGGCAAAGTACAGGACATGCGCTGGCTTCCAGACATTGTTATGGTTCGGCTATTGCGTCATTTGCAGCGATTGAACACGGGCCACTACCTGAATGCTAGTCGAGCTATTAATTATCGCGAGCCCAAATCGAGTGCTCACACAATGCTTGGGTTCAATCTATGAGCCGCATTCAAATATTGTCACTGGGAGGACTATGCCAACATTGCAACCCTTCCAGCTCCGTCATCAAGATTTGCAAAGGAGAGAGTTAAAGAAAATGCTCGCTTTTTTTCCTTGAAATTACACCGCAACGAAGAAGTTTCTCGGTCAGTGGTGTTGCATGCATGTACACTTTGGTCCCACCATAGAGATAGTAAGTTCATGTAAAGTGAAAAACGTTTAAGCGGCCCCTTTAAGTAAACGAAAACCACCAGTATATGAAACATTTTCTTGCCCTAAAAGATTGGTTGCCAATCATATTCACAAAGAAATTATGATAAATGCAGCCATTGAAACCTTCACTGGTGCAAGTGTAACACTTGAGATGCCAATATTTGCCTGCCCATGTGCTACCTGCTGTCAATCCACTTGCAGCACCACTATTTTAGTCCACTGTAAAAAAGTGTTGCAGGAAGGTTAAAAGGGGACACTGCTCGAAGTCTATGCTCGCCCCAGCAACCTTGTCAGGCAACGCTAAAAAAACATTATAGTAGTATTCACCTTCGCTTTCTTAGGACACTGTTCTCAGAGCAGTGGCAGCCACCCCAAACCAGCTTCTAACTAGAATATTAATTTCAGTGGGTGCAAACATAACACAAGAACAGCAATCGTACAGAACAGTGGTTCTCAAATAGGGTTCCAAAGCCATTTTTGAAATCCACAAAGCCCTCGCCTTGAAAAAAAAAAAAAAAGTTTTGTTGACCATGGCTAGGTGGTGCAAGCTACTGCCAGTTATTAAAGGTGCAGCTGTTACCATCTACCCCTCCAGTCATCCTTCTATTTGATGCTCTTCTCCTGTCTATAACAGTAAAGGATAACCTCTTCACACTGCAATTAGTTGTCTTTTTTTATACCCCCCCCTCCCCCTCCCCTTCCCCCGCTGGCATGGGGACCCCCATCTCTTTGGCTGGTCCCCAACGTCCTTGAGAACCACTGGTATAGAGAAAAAGTATGAGAGTGAGGCAGTCACAAACATGACAATGATAGTTTACCATGACCCTCTTTGAGATACATTCTCTACCGCGAGAACTGTCTGTTCTTGTTCCCCACTGGGACGGGCTTGTAGATGACCGACTTCTCTCGCTTCTTGGAGGGGCCGCCCTCGTATCCGTAGTTTGAAGCTCTCCCCTTCCTGGGTCGTGCCTTGCTGCTTCCCACATCTGTGAAAGTTGGTTAAGGAGACTGGCACGCTGTCGCCACCTAAGTCCACTCGTCGTGACAATGGTAACATGTACTTAAAAGAAAAAAAAGAAGAGGGGGCTGAAAACCCAATCTTGAATAAGGTGTATTAGATGAAGTATAAACCAACAAGTCAGCCCGCAATGTATGTCAATCAAACTCCTCCTAGAGCGAACGCCGCAACAACGAAAACTTTTCAATTCCTCATGGGCTGTCCGTAAAAGATAGTGTATAATAATTTCCTCCACAACGAACAACCTTTCGAATGCTGCTTCGCTTAAACAAAGTTTTCATGAAGAAAAACTTCACGAAGAAAAGAAAATCACTGATATTTTCTAGCTTTCACCAAATGCGAGTTTATGCTTTACTTTGCTTTATGGTAAGCTCTTAATGGGCAACTCTGGTCAATTCCAAGTAATTTGAGTTAATGGTTGATTACAAATCTTGAGGTAGTAATAATCCGTTCTACGTCATTGCTTCCCCAAAAAAGAATATTTTTCGCACAATCTTTGTATAAAACTCACCACAAACCGAAACCTTGCCTGCGGCAAGCAACGTTGCTCCTGTGTCATCAACTACGTGCTCTTACCACGTGGTAAAAATCGTGACGTCATGCACCAGGCGGCCGGACATAGCACGACACATGGGCAAAAGCGTCATCTGCTACAATCGGCAGTCTGCTACAGCCGACGACGCCTGAACTACCAAGGCTGCAGCTTGTGCCTTAGCACAAAGAAAAGCAACTTTTCCCAAGGGCTTGTTTTGAAAATTTTAGTAGAAAGTCAAGCTCAACAAACCACAAGTAAATGTGTCGCGACAGGTTTGTAGAAGCATACCGTGTTCAATGATGTAAACTGGCTCTCTCGCACGCTAAAAACGCTGCCGGCGACGATGCATGCTCACATGGGAGCACACGCGCGTTCTGCGAATTAAGTGGCCAACAACAAGTGCGCTGCTAGCGCCGCCTGCAGGCTTTGCTTGAAAAATTACAAAACAAACAAAGAAATTTCTCTGAGCGCCAAAGCATGGCGTAGGTAACACAGGGTGGGTTGTGCTGACACGGTGGTGTTGACTGCGCTGTTGGGTACGCCACGCCTCGCCCGCTAGGATTGGCAGAATTTCGTAACTTCGCCCGCCACAAACTTTGTTCGCCAGTTTTTTCAACTTTTAGATGGAATTAGATAGAAATATTTGCTGTGTGATCTTTGTAGGCTACACTAAAGAGAATTACCTTGTTCTTTTTTTTTTTTTACATTAAAAATGAACCAGAGTTACCCTTTATATTGTGGATGGTTAAAAACCAAAGATCAATAGCATCCTTAAAGTTGTGACGCAGATGGCTACTTAATGTTAATGTTACCAGAACTTGAAAATGCCGATTTGACCAAAATATGGCTTTTCAATGCTCATCCTTTTAATTTCCTCGCAACACATGCTGTTTACCCGTCACTCGCTTGGTTGTGCTTAAATTCAGTGGTTCAAAGGATACGCAAGTCAACGCTCGGTGGAACCGTGAATCCAAAGGACTTGGCAACCTGAATCAGGTCCAGCGTGTTGACGTCGAAGATGGACTTGAGGTGGTGGGAGTCATAGGCGCGCACATAGGCCTTGTAGGCCTCCTTGGCCGACATATGCAGGAAGTAGTTCTTGGTGATCAGCTTCTCCAGCTGCAGAAAAACCAAGAGGAAGGATAAAATGAGCCCATTTTAGCAATCTGGCACGGTGCCTGCCTGCAGATTCACTGCTGGAGATGCCATCCCAATGCAAGCATTGTGAGCAGGGTATTGTCTATGTCAGGAACATCTGTACGATATCTCGTTTAGAACAAAACTCACCCCTCTCTTGAAAATCTTTCGAAATTGCATTAGAGAAACCCTGCCATTCATTTAGTCGGTTGCCTAATCTCACATACAAGCAAAACACTCTTTTTGTGTGCTGGCTCAATTTTATGTATTATATGATCTGAATAAAATTTTATGTTACTACCATTACAGTCAAACCCGTTTATACCGAACTGTAAAAAAATGCCCAGTTTCAATCGATTTACCCAATATTTCGTTATAGCAAAACCCACTTGTAACAAATTTCTACAATTTGTTTTGTTCGGCAATGTCAGATTTGTTTTCACCATGTCCGACATGGCGAATGTTATTGTCTGACAAAGAATTTCACTATATGTGGAACCAGTGATTCTGGTTTCTTAGAAAGGGTGTTTAGACCTTATCTTACAGTGTTACGCCAGCATGTGTTGGTTTTTATCTTTATCTGTACATTTTCCAAAATAAACCATTCAGTCGAAAGTTGCGCCGCGTCCCGTCTAAATCTTTCTTCATTTTGCCGGTGCTGTTTCGGCATATTATTCAGTAATGATGTCCACTCTGTTCAAGAGCGAAAGAGCATGCCACTTCTTTGTCATCATCTTGAACCGTGAACCACACCAGATTGCAGAAAAAAATTGCAAGTTGAAAGAGGCCCAGGGAAGTGAAATTTACGATACTGACGTTCGGTCTGCAATGCGTTGACTGCGTGCACGCCCAAATTCTGTCTGTTCCAAAACCACCGGCAACAACGGAGTTGATTGGCTGAAAAGCGCTGCAGTTGTTACGACATCTGAAACCTGCTAGGGCGCTACAGCGCTAGGGCGTGACTAAGCATAAGTGGAGGCTTCATGCCCGACGAGAAGGAACCTCCTGCATTGCAAGGAAGCTGAACGCAGGAAGTGCCAGAGTTTGCGCGATTGCTGGTGGTCATAGGAGCTAGAGATTCGATATACCGTATTTACCCGAATCTAACGCGCATCCATTTTTCGAGGTCCGAAAAAAAAAAAAACGCGATGACCTCGATTGTTACGCGCACCAGATTTTGTATGCTGGATACAGAAATTACTTTTTCTCACTTGGAACAACGAAGGTTCATTCCAAATGCGTCAATTTTGCGATGAAATGAACGGCGCCGTCCCTCGCCGGCAAAGTCGTTATCACGACGCCGGTCCGGAGCAGCGATGACCACTGGTATGCACCACTCGTCATCGCTGTCGGACGACTCCTTGTTGCTGTCAACGGCCCAAAGCATTTCATTTTTGAAACTTCCTGGCCAAAATCCTTTCTTTCTGTTTGAGCCAGTCCCACACAAAAGTTTCTGGAACACTAAACGCACGTGATGCGGCCCAATTTCTATCGCTCTCTGCACACAATATCATTTTTCTTTTGAATCCAGCGTCATGGTGAATGCGGCGTGTCTTTGCAGTGGGAACTTCCATGCTGATACGAACGCAAGAAACACACGACTACGCTAAGCGCTGGCTACGGTCCAAGCCCCTAAGCCTCTTGGCGCGTAATGGAGCGGCCATTTTGAAATGTCGATGGCGATATGGTAGCGCAATTTCGGGTCATACTCGATTCTAGCGCACATGCAATTTTTGGACCTATTTAAAAAAAAAAAAAAGTGTGCGTTAGATTCAAGTAAATACAGTATTTATTGTGTAGTTTGTTATAAGAGATATATTTTGCATGCATACTGATAAAAACGTTTTCGCGTGTTCGATATAGGGGTTAATTCACTGCACCCGAGTTTCTTTTAATCGGGTTTGACTGTATTATCAAAAAAAAACAAGATAAGTTAGATTACTGAATCCTTTGTGAGCATATGTTAACCGTAGCCATCTGTTATTCTTCCATCCCCTCTGCCGCCCCGCTCCGTTCTTTCCTTCCAAATTGCTCCCCGCAACCCGAGTTCTCTAGAGCCAACGAGCCCTCGCCGTTCAAACCACCGTCCATTCTTCTCGCCCTCAGTTCTACCCATCGCCCAAATGTAAACACCAGCCAAGTCGACTCTGCTCGCAAGCCCCGGCAGCCGACTTCTTTGCCGCAGCTGTAACCTTACCCCTCACCTCATAAACTAGCCTCGCCCTCGCCCCTGCCCCGAAGCCATCGCCTCTTCGCCTCAAGATTCTCCAAGCCTGCGTTCTTCTCTTCCAGTTGCTTCCGCCCGTCCCACTGACTCAGACATACCTTTCTTCTCCCGTAATAAACAGTTATCGTAATCTTTAAACTTGTTCTTTCTTCCTGGGGCCTACCACCGGCCCTCACATCTGGCGCAGTCGACCCTTCGAACCTCAATTTTCAATCTTCATCGCCTTCGCCTCCTGAACAATGGAATACTTCTAGACCTTCGGTAACCCTACTTCGCCATCTTACCCGCCATCGCCTACGCCCTCGCCATGATCCAGTGGGACCAAGCAACTCCAATCGCCCTTCACGCCTTCACCGCCAATTTCCTTCGCGCCGAACTGGATGCCAGAGGACTGGATTCCTAGGGATCCAAAGATGACCTGGTCGCCCGCCTGTCTTCTTTTCTTCAAGACCAAAAGCAACAAGCGCCTCAGCCCCAAATCCCCGCGCCTCAAGTGTTTTCTCCCGGCACCGAGAATGGCGACACGGCACAGCCTACTGTCACGCCCGTGTCCTCGCCCGACGTAATGCAACTCCTGGCATCGTGCCTGCAGCAAAACACCCAGCTTTTGGCCAAGATGCAAAGCCGTCCAGTACAGGTTGCGACACTTCCAGATCTGAGCTCCTCCATTTCAACATTTGAGGACTCGAAAACGACCTCCACCAAGCGCTGGCTGGAAGAACTGGAGAAGACGAAACAGCTCGCCGCCTGGACCGATTCGACCCTTCGAGCGATCGCCATCAGTAAGCTTCGAGGTACCGCAAAGAACTGGCACCTCGCAGCTGGCCACGCCCATGCCTCATGGACTGACTGGAAGGCAGCCCTCCTCCAGCAGTTCAGTGACCAACTCACCCTCATCGAGTGGCAACGACGTGTCATGGAGCGCCTCCAAACTCCAACTGAGACGCTTCATCAATACACCTTCGCCAAATTGCGACTTCTCGCCCGATGTCCCGTGCTGCTCACCGACCAACAGCGGATTGAATACATCATCCAGGGCATCGCTGACAGGCAAGTCACCAATGCTATTGCTGCCCAGTGCCCTCCAAGTGTTGACGCCTTCATAGCGATTGTCACACAACTGGACAACGCGTCGCTACATGTTCGCCGGACGCGTGACCCGTTCACACGCGACGGAAATCGCAATTCCGACTCACGACCACCTCCCGCACAAATGCCCGGAACTTCAAAAGGCACTTCATCGCCTCGCGACTTCCAACCGTCGTCGTCCGACCGCTTCCCACGCAGAATTTCACACCTTCCGCCTGCTGAACGCGAAGCGCGTTATGACGCGATTGCCCAGCGATACAACGCTCCCGCCTATCGATCTGGCCAGGACATACGTGACGCAGTGTGTTTTCGCAGCCGGAACAAGGGTCATCTTTCTGCCAAGTGTCCCGAATTCCAACAATGCCGACCGCCGCCGCCGCCGCCGGCTCCATCGCCTCGCTCCGACAGAACATTCACGTGCAAAACTGGAGACTCTGAACTAAGTGGTTCGAAAATTGCATGTGCCATGGTCACCGCCGACGTCCGTGGTATAGGACATCTTGATGCATTTCCCGATAGCGGATCGAGCATAACCCTCATCTCCGCGAAGCATGTCAGCGGCTTACAGCTCCTCCCGTGGACAGCAGCTCCCCTCATCGTCGTCGGGGGTGGTACGATCACGCCCATCGGATCTGCTTGTCTTCGCATCTCCGTCGACGACATCTGTGGAGTTGTCGAAGCCGCCGTGCTTGAAAACAACCCCCTCCCATTGATTCTCGGAGACGACTGGCTTTGCGCTGCTCGCGCCGAGCTTCACGTCAAGCCACCAAGACTCCCCGAAATTCACCAGCCGCACCGAAAACTTGTGGTGCCATGTGTTGAGAAGACCCTGCCTCGGATGGCGAACGCCGTGCTCCTGCAGGAGACTGCCATTCGAAGGTGGCACGCTGCTCCGACAACGCCAACAGGGCTCCAGTCGGAACCTATCCTAGAGGATCAAAAGCCTCTCTGGGCAACGCTGCAAGTTCCCGCCGCCACGCCCCCGCCACTCAGCGCGCCCAGTCAGGCTTCGCACGTCGCGACCCTTTGCGCCACCGCCACCCGCCAGCTCGTCGAGCCTCATGAGCAACCTATGCCTGCCTCTGCCACGCCCTCGTCAGCTCTGCCCTCGTCGTTTGTCCCATTGATTGGGCCCAGCCTCGACGAAACTGACCGAAACAAAATTCAAGCCATCTTAAACAGCCACGTGCCTCTCTTCGCCACAGACGAGCAAGACCTCGGCCTTTACATGGGGACGGAACACAGCATCGACCTGGTTCCTGGAGCCACCCCATACAGCCGTCAGCCATACAGGTACTCCTTTGACGATCGCCGATTTCTAGAACGTCAAACAGAAGACCTTTTGCAGAAGGGAATTATCCTCCCGTTGTCTGGACCCTGGGCTTTTCCAGTTGTTGTGGTCAGCCAACAGACCAAAAAGCGCCTTTGCGTCAACTATATTCCGTTGAACAAAATGACTGTAAACGTCGCACAACCCCTTCCCCGCGCCGACGACATCATGGAAGATATCGGTGGTTGTAGCCTTTTCGCATCACTAGACCTGAAGTTTGCCCATTGGCAAATTCTGCTAAGACCTCAGGATCAAGACAAAACCGCCTTTATCACTCATCAGGGCACCTACAAGTGGACACGCATGCCCTTCGGCCTCAAAAATGCGCCCGCCACATTCCAGAAAGCCATGAACACCGTCTTCCAAGAACTCCGACCACGCCACCTCAAATGCGGTGTTCGCGTCTACCTCGACGATGTGCTGCTCTTCGCACACTAACATCACCGAGTTTCTTGACCTTCTTGACGAAGTCTTGACGCTTCTCCAACGCAGCGGTCTCAAGCTGTCGGCAGAAAAATGCCATTTTGGAATGGAATCCATCAAGTTCCTGGGTTTCATTCTCTCCAAGTCTGGAAAACTGCCGAACCCAGAGAAGGTGGATGCTCTTCTGAAAATCCCGACTCCGCGAAACGCGAAGTCCCTGCTCTCATGGGTTCAAGCTGCCAACTTCTACCGACGCTTCATCCCCGGGTTCTCGCACATCGCTGCTCCGCTTCACAACATCATTCGCACGGGCAACTTCGAGTGGACACCAGAGTGCGACACTGCCTTTCAAGCCCTAAAAGCTGCCTTGATGTCGGCGCCTATACTGGGTCATTTTAATCCCAGTGCCCCTACGACTGTCGCCACTGATGCCTCCGGCACTGCAATCGGTGCAGTACTGTCTCAGCAACAAGACGGCAGGGAAACTGTAATCGAATACGCCAGTCGGTCGTTGACCCCGGCAGAACAGAAGCTCCACAGCAACGTCTGGGAATGTATTGCTGTTCACTGGGCGCTCACGCAAAAATTCCGCCCATACCTTCTCTCCATCAAGTTCTCACTTATCACAGACAATTGGACCATCATGTGCCTGACTACGTCCATGAAGCCATCTCGAAGATTCACGCACATGTTGATGGACTTGCTGGAATTTGACTTCACGGTCCATCACCGTCCGGGGAAACAGAACGTTGTTGCCGACATGTTGTCTCGCCTCGCCTGCGCCACTGTCCAAACCTCCGACCACCTGGCCCAGCTTCAACAGGAAGACGCCGAATGCCACGACATACGGCGAAGACTTAGAGACGACCCAGCCTCCCTACCAGACTTTTTCGTGATTGACAACGTACTTTACTACAGCACGTCGCCCCAGATGTCAGTCATCGTACTTCCCGCCAAAATGCGACACCAGGCACTCGAGCTGATGCACGACAGCAGCGGCCACGTGGATTACACTAGAACACTGGCCAAACTCGCTGAGCGCTATTGGTGGCCCCGAATGCCGAGCACGACGGCCAAATACGTAAATGCGTGCCAGACCTGCCAGGCGTGCAATCGACCCACAACGAAATCGGTGGGGAAGATGGCCATCATGCCAACCACCGAGACCCCGTTCAAGATTATCGCAATGGACCATGTCACCATGCCAGACACCGGTAGCCATCGATACCTGCTCAACCTAATCGACTTTGCATCACGATTTGTGGTTCCAGCAGCAGTCACTTCGACATCTACAAAGGAGGTCATTGCTCACCTCCTGCAGGTGTTCTACCGTTACGGAGCGCCCGACCACTGCCTCACAGACCACGGACGCGCATTCGAGTCGCACGGGTTTCTACGCTTCATGCGACTCCACGGCGTCACCATTCACCATTCCGTGGCTTACCGCGCAGCCAGTAACGGCTTGGTTGAGCGTAGCAATGGCACGCTCGTGGCCGTACTTCGGAAGCTCTGCAAGTCGGATCCCCAGACTTGGGATACACGCCTTGAGGAGGCAGCCTTCGCCGTCAACACAACCTACAACGCATCTTCACAATTTTCACCCTTCGCGTTGCTCTACGGCTACGTCCCAAAAATGCCTCATCAAAAGCATCAGCCCCAAAACACGGAAACCATGCACGAGCGCTTGCTCAGATTATGCGCCGACCGAACAGACGCACTTCAGCGGAGTGAAGACGCCCAACTTTCACGTAAAGCTATCTACGATCGTTCTCACAGGGATGGTAGAGACTTCGAGCCCGGAGACATCGTATGGATTCGCCGCCAGCAACCCGTGCCCGACGGAATGGAAAAGCTGTCCCCCCGGTTTAAGGGCCTCTACGAAATCGTTGGGAAGCCCACGCCTGTGACATTCCGCGTTCGACCAGTGCCCGCCTTCGGTAACACATATACCACCAACGAACGCACGGTTCACTGCTCACAGGTGAAGAAATACTCGCCACCATACGTAGATCCAACTCTCACAGATCCCCATGTCGGTGATGTATCAGCGCCATCGCCAACCCCCCTTCCTGACCCGACACAACAGGAGCCAGAACTCCCCACACTCGCGCCTTGCCCGAGCATCAACAACTTACAAAACCATTCATCAAGCTGCGAAACACCCGCCGCTGAGTCACCGCGCCCCACATTCCGCCGACCCCGCCGAACACGCATTCTGCCCTTGCGCCTTCAAGATTTTGATGTATCCACAGAGTAGTTTCGCCATTTCGCTTGCCATTAGTTTTATAGCCTCATAGCCACGTTTCTATATAAGTACCCCTAGAATAGCTGCGCCTTTCGCTTAGCCATTTGTTTTATATTCATAGCCACGCGGACGTGGCCTATAGAAGTGGGGTGGGATGTGAGCATATGTTAACCGTAGCCATCTGTTATTCTTCCATCCCCTCTGCCGCCCCCACTCCGTTCTTTCCTTCCAAATTGCTCCCCGCAACCCGAGTTCTCTAGAGCCAACGAGCCCTCGCCGTTCAAACCACCGTCCATTCTTCTCGCCCTCAGTTCTACCCATCGCCCAAATGTAAACACCAGCCAAGTCGACTCTGCTCGCAAGCCCCGGCAGCCGACTTCTTCGCCGCAGCTGTAACCTTACCCCTCACCTCATAAACTAGCCTCGCCCTCGCCCCTGCCCCGAAGCCATCGCCTCTTCGCCTCAAGATTCTCCAAGCCTGCGTTCTTCTCTTCCAGTTGCTTCCGCCCGTCCCACTGACTCAGACATACCTTTCTTCTCCCGTAATAAACAGTTATCGTAATCTTTAAACTTGTTCTTTCTTCCTGGGGCCTACCACCGGCCCTCACACCCTATATCCTGCTAGGCCTTCAGGTTCATGCTACAAAGTCCTACAACAAGGAGGGTTGCAGCTTTGCTTGTCCACCTGCTACAGTGGATGCTTTAGTCATGAGGCTGAAGTAACAAACAGTAGAGCACTGGGTACTGCTGATATTGTATATTTCCTTTGGTCAATGGTAAAAATAGCAGAAGAAAGAAAGAGCTGTGCTAGAAAATAAAAATACAGAAGCCAACCCTGTTCATTCAGTGCAGTTGCTATGTTTGTTTGTAATACCCTCCCCTGCCACAGCTTTGGCACGATGGGTAGCGCACTCACAGGACAGGCAGAAATTGCTGGTTTTAAACTGGGCGGGGTTGACACTGAACGTCGTGTAATTTTCCTCAATGTCGTTTGCAGGTATGTGAATGCCTTAGGCTAGCTATGTTGCCAAGTTAAAAATAGGCAAAAAAACATGCACTTTGCAGAAGAGAAAACTATTTTTCTAGAGTTACAGAACTAAGAACAAAAAAGTGAAACTTGACATGTATGTATTTCATGGAGTCTACAAAGATCTCAAGACAGGAAAAATCTAAACTTCTAATTTCGTATAATAATCTTCTAAAAGGGGAGCTTTGTGATGCTGTTCAGCCTTGTAGACTTAAAGGGGCCATGAAACAAATTTTGGGTTGGGATGAATGATTTTAAATTGGGACTTTACTATTCGCATATCGTTTAGTTGGCCAAAAGAAAGAGGGTAGAAAGTCAACAGCCAGCTTTTCGGTACGAAAATTTGGAGATACAGCGGACTATTTTGTACCTTCTTGCCTTCGAAAGCTCTCCGCCTTTTCACTATGATACATCCGCAGTTCCAAAAGCGCGTCACCGGCGCCAAACTGAGGTCAGCAGAGCCCAGCTTACGCACTGGACACGAGAACTGCGTCACTCGGACACATGCGCTCGTCAACAATCAATCTGTCGACGAATATTTGGATTCGCTTTCGTGGCCATGAGTGCCCCGACGGAACTTATTGTCACTGGGGAATGAGAAGTTCTATGGTGTGCATAAAAAGCACGGTGGAAGCTAGGAGTCATCGCACCGGTGCCGAAGGAATGTCACGACAACGTGATTTCACAATTCGCATTTGAGTTGAGGATTAAAGCTAAGGAGGAAGAAGTAGGAAAATCGTTCCATAACCCCTTTAATCTCAAAGAAAAAAAAAAAAAAAGACATCTAGATGCTTTTATGTTTATCTGCAGCATTACCTTAAAAGTTTTTTTTTGTTTTTTTCTGCCTCAAAAAAATGTTTCTAGCACTTCAAGGTGACAAAGTTTGATTCCTCTTGAAGGAAAAACCCAGAAAATGGCTAACAACCATAAACTCTTTTCGTGTGTCTCTTTGTGCAGGTGTCACCCCAGACACGCATTGCAAAACGCACACCAGGCATTTTGCAACAGCTTGAGCCGGTGCTCGTGCTGGTGTCTCAACACCGTCACGAGAAGAGTTCCAGAGGGCTGCTGACCTGCGGCTGGATGTTGGCGATCTTGGTCCAGGAGAACTCAAACTCCTGCAGGGGCACCTTGGCCACCTTGAGGTATCGCAGGAAGCCCACCTCCTCTGGACGGAGAATGAGCAGGGCATGGCCGCTGCCCCCCTCCCCTCGGGCCGTCCTCCCCACCCGGTGGATGTACTCCTGCACGACATGGTGTTCACACAGGTGATGAGAGTGCACTAGCGCAGCCACCGAACAGAGCTTCATGGATGGAAGGAATGATCCCCAACTTGGAAATCAAAGTTTAGATCAGGGACTCCCAAAATCTTTAATCTTGGGGATTGCTTATATGTCTCGAATGGCCACCAAGGAGCCCTTCCCTGTCCCGGCATCGTTGTAATAAAGAAGTGCAGAAGCCAGTAGACCTTGTAAGCAATAATGCACATGCAAGGAAGTGTTTGGCACATACACATATCAATGGGTGGCTCCAATTTGCCGAAATAATCCATAACTGGGAAAACACGCTACTCTGGGGTAGGGAGGGTCGGGGAAGTTCAAGAGCTCGAGGACTCCAGAAGGGTACTGCGGGGAAACCGCGAGTTCCTGGGAACACGGTTTGAGAACCCATGGTTTAGAACTTCAGGTTACATTAACCTCGTTCCCCCAAAACACCTTGGGAGCCTCAAAAATTCTAAATGGTTGAACATTTTAGACAAAGGCCGTGTCCCAAGCTATGTTACAGGGGAAGGGTATGCTCTTGGGCTAGTTGGTAATTCATAGTTCTGAGGGTAAAACGCTAAAAAACAACATACAAATGAAAGAAACGAACAACACGAGCGCTCTGTGTTGTTGATTTCTTTCACTTGTCTGTTGTTTTTTAGCCCTTTTACCCTCGGAACTATGCTACAGGGATTTGCAAATCGTCCACGCAATCAGGCATATTAAGACCCTCTAGTGACGAAGCTCTTTGTCAAATATTTTATTCTTGCTTGATTGCGGTTTTGATTTTACTAGATTATGAAAGAATTTCCGAGCACCTAACAAATATTCCGGAGTGCTTCTGGTCCCTCCCAGTAATCGGCCGTGGCCCCGTAAAGGAGGCACGTCACCTCAGTCCACAAATTGTCGGTGAAAGGCAACGTCACAACAAAAGCGCCGAGAAACACACTCCCACGTTCTGTCCCGTCCTCCCACTTTCCCCATGACTGTGAATCGTGCAAGGCCTCGCTTACCCTCTTGCTTTCTTTAGTTTAAGGATGGCACTAGCTTCAACTATGGCAGTAAAGACCTGTTCACACACTTGCACTAGATTGCAAACGAGTGCATTGTGCAGTCTTGCGATCTCCTACGAGACGACACGCTGGCAGTACCTATGGGTAGCCGTAGAACACTCGAGATGTCCACATATTCCCCATTTTTTTCTGTACATCGTTCTCTCGTCGTGGGCTCAACAAGCTTTTGATAACGTTATCGACGACCACTTCTTGTAGACAGCATGTACACTTGATCTCGCAGATGCTGCAAAACCTTCGCTCTAGTGAAATGGTGTTAAAGGTTTACCTCATAGAGGGCATCAGTGTGACGGTGTCTTCTTTGGATGTAAGAGATCACGAGGCTGCATGGTGCGTTTGGTTGCGACCTAACGCGAGTGTACAAACAGGCCTCAACCCTTTGACAGTGGTTGCTGTACGTGCATATACGGCGGCTATTGCACATACGAAGGTGTCCGCCTAAACGCGAAACCACGTGCACCACAGGAGGTATGGCCATCTGTTATCTCTAGGGTGAACTATAAACACTACGTTAGCACGGTGTTTTGCTCTTTTGGGGCCATTTATTGTTTTGAAATTAGACATTCTGCGCACGTGACATGCGCGCTATGGTCACTTTGCATACTGGCTGCTCCGGCTGTAGTGGCATTCGGAGCACTGGCTCTTCCGATTCAGACTTTGAACGCTTCTAAGAAAAACGTTCGGAAGATGAACAACGCAGCTCTGTAGATGATTTCAGGTTTGAAATCTAAAACCACCGTAACGTCGCGGAAGCGGAAAAGCCAAAGTGAAACCGAATGGAAGAAAGGTGACAATTGTTCGCCTTCAGTATTTTCATTTGACGCTTCTAAACCTAAACAGCTAGAAAGCACGCTGTGCGTGTTCCCACCAGATAATTAAGAAAAAACCTTGGCACTGACCCTTTCTTTATAACATCCCTTTGGAAACAAAACACGACCCCGGAGAAGGACCCCTAGGGAAAACATCTCGACGGTCAAAATGAGTGTGACGGACACAAGGGGAAAACTGACCTTGGGGTCGTCCGGCGGATCGTACTGAACGATCCAGTCCACCTCGGGAATGTCGAGTCCTCGGGCGGCCACGTCCGTGCACAGAAGGATGCCCGTGTCGGCGTTGCAGAACTGGAAGAAGGTGGTCGTCCGCTTGGCCTGCTTCTGCTTCCCCTGCCAAGAATAAAACAAGCACAGTTCTGCAACTGCTAGCCCTCGGAACGTTTAAATAAGGAGATCTCGAAGACCCCAGTAATTACCTAATATGCATGGGTTCGCAAACTGGGTTCCTAGAAACACAGGGGTTCCCCAGAGTATCCCCACGTGTTCCCCGAATTCCCAGATTTCCTCGAGCGTCCCTGCCCCTTATAAACTGCCGGGAGCTCTTTTCCCATGCGCTACGGATACGTTCAAATACCCGAATGCCACGTATGTTAACAAAAGAATCCCTTCAGGTTTAGTAGGCTTCTCAATGATTTATCATTTGTGATGAAATTATTAATTAATGCTAACTAATTAATATTGACAAGCAGTGAAAACAAGGTGTCTTCACTGCTTGTTTAGTGAATCGAGACTAACTTAAATGAAGCATTAAAAAAAGTTGACGCTGGTGGGATAAACTCGAAAAATGCGACCATTTACAAAGCCTCCACAGTCAGCCGGTCTCTTATCAAGAGACGTTCGATTGCCATTTCTAGGTTTCTACTTTTTTTCTTTTTTTACTAATCCAGAAATATTCAATGTGCATTATGTAGACAAAACATGCACTGTCCTACTCAGAACAACGTCTCAATGCTCAGGATGACTGACCTAGAGGATTGAGACTTTTCTCTTATTAGAATCATAGGAGCCTGTACCCCCACTATACTAAAGAACTTGAAGAAGCCTAGAAGAACAAACCAGGTAAGATACATATTCAATATGTGGAGTGAAGAAGGTAGAAGAAAACCCGTACATGAATGCTCATGACCGGCAGGTCAATGTAGTTGAGCAGTTCGTGGTGGTACTTGACGGACAGGCAGGAGCTGAAGAACACCATCACCTTCTTCTTGCGGTTCTTCTTGAGGAAGGTGAAGAGCAGGAGAAACCTCTTGTCCGAAGGGCAGACCACATAGCCCTGCAGAAGCAAGGGGAGAAAAGACAATAAGTTCATAGTTAAGGAGTTTCGGTTTCGGACTTACCAACGTCCAGTGGTGGTCCAGCCATTTTAGGTTTTGGAGCAATTTTTGGAGCAAGAAAAACCCAATTTTGGAGCAATTCGTATCACATAAACTCCCCTTTTGGAGCAGGGAAAAGCTCGTTTTGGAGCACCTTGGTATCAGGAAAACTAAACATTTTGGAGCAGCATGAACATAGAGCAGTTCTGTGCCATGTCTTTATTATTATATAAATATTACGGCTGCCGAAAGTCCGAAACTATAGCGATTTATTAAACATGTTTGTAAGCTCTATTCTGAGTTCGCACGCAGTGCGACAGTATGACAACCAAGGGGTGACCAATCGTTTACGGCATTTGACATGAAAAGGAACACGCAACAATTCGCAACAAGGAAATCAAGCAACGACCACGCGATCGAAAAGAGTACCACGTTCGGTATTGATGCCGCTGGTCTGCCGGTGAACGAGCGTCCGAGCAAATTTCTACTATGGGGTCTGTAACTTAAAACGCGCATGCAGAAAAAAAAACTACTCACGTTGGCTCCTCTTTAAGAGGACTTAGTAGTGGCGATGCAGAAATGAACAGCCACAACGCCGCATATCAAAACGGTCGCAACAAAACAATAATGCGCAATAATGCCACTGGGCCGGAAACCTGAATCGGATTGTGATGGCTATGGTAACGGCTCTACCCTTTATATCGGGCGGCAGCTTGCACCTGCTTGCACCACCTAGAGCACTATATACACGTTTGCAAGTCCGGTCTCAGGGCGCCGCCATCTTCCTCAGTGGGGTGCGCTCTCGGGAGCGGCCATAATCCGATTACGACGCCTTAGCAAGGCTTCGTAATCGGATTATGACTGGTCCAAGCGCACCCCAGACAGGCAAGATGGCAGCGCCCTAAAGCCGGACTTGCAAACGTGTATAGCTCTATAGTGCTCTAGCACCACCTAGCCTAGAAAATAAAACTCCCCCGGGTTGCCAGCCGAAAACGCGATTCTTCCATAAAAGGATTCGTTCACGGACCGACTAGCCCTTTTTGGCGCAGTTTGGCGCAGTTTGGCGCAATTTGTGTCTTTAGGCGCAGCAAGGCGCAGGTAAAGGAGAATTTATCAAAATGGCGCAATTGGCGCAGCTGGACCACCCCTGAACGTCACATTGGTACGTCCGAAACTAGAATATGCATCGTCAGTCTGGGACCCCCATCTTAAATACCTTGTATCCGACTTAGAATCAGTTCAAACTCGTGCCGCTCCCTTTATGACATCTCAATACTTTAGGTTTGTTAGTATTACTGAACTTCAACAAAATTTATCCCTAACCTCTTTGTGTTCACGCAGGCGCGTCACTAAATTATGTCTTTTCTACAGGTTTTACTTCGATGATCATCTACACAATTCATTAACCTTGCCAGCTCATCACATATCACTCCGCATTGACCACCCTGCAAAAGTTGGCCTTCCTTTCACTCGAAATACAGCATTCCTTAAATCTTTTTTCCCGGCAACATATGTGGACTGGAACGGCCTGCCCGAAGCCATTGTCTCTGTTCAAGACATCGATTCATTTTTCCAAACATTAAACTCGCAATTTATTTTACCCACTCCCTTATGTGATACCCTGAATCAGGGTTCTTAAGGTATTTACATAAATAACTAAAGGAGTCAAGTAGGCACCATGGAGTGTTTAGTGGATTCATACTACAACTCTAATAAGTATGCTCAGCAACTAGACATTATTGCAAAAAATTGCCTGGTTTAGACATTCCGTCCAATGCAATAAAGGCGCAATAGCACTTGACGGGGATCTTAGCGAGCAGCACTTTCTATCGGAAACACTGTGAAGTAATGTAATACCATGACATCACGTGACGCCGCCTGATATTGTGAAACCTAACCTAACTTCAGTCTAGAAATTCTGAATCCTACAGGTATAAATAAATTTTCTCCTGCTACAGCAGTACAATTTGCCAAGGATTTACTAAAACTGGCAAAAGACTATAAATGGACGGAATGCTCACCTGCTCCAGACCTTCCACTGTCGCCTGTTCTTTGTTTTCGTCCAGGCCGATGTAGAGAGGCTCGCTCTTGAGGGCGACTTTTACCAGGTCCTCTGTCTTTTTGGTCAGTGTGGCACTGAACAACATCGTCTGTCTTCGCTCTGAAAAATAAGAAACATTCAATATTATCTCCTAGGTGGCCCAAACCAGCACAAGCAGTGCTGCACTTTTGTACTGTGCCAAAGATGAACAGTCTCAAAATTTTGTAACTTAAAAGGCAGCCAAGTTAGCTTGCAACAGTATATAAAAGGAGGAGAGCGAATAATAAGGCACTGATGACACTTCAACTAAAATTATTTACCTGCAGTAAAATACTACCGTAATATCCCAAGAGATGCCCCAGCCTTGAACGATAACCAACCACTATTTTTACACAATTTGCTATTTCTTTAAAAGCATCGGAAGGTAGTCCATTTTTAGCAATTGCACGGCCCTGGCCAATGGTGACCCTGGCAGGAATGATGTTACTTAGCCAGGACGGGAAATAATCGAACATCACTGACTGGGAAGGACAGCCGTCTTTGGTTTGACTTGCCTGCAATCACAAGTTTCGCAGGTCACAAATTTGCACTTTTCAACTTTTTCTGATCACACACCGAAATTTAGCCCACTCCTTATTTTTACTCGACTTGCTTTCGATTTTAGGTGGGCTGTCTCTCAGTATATTACGGCAAGCGTGACATTTATGCGATCAGAATCCCAGTTCAGATTGCATTTCTGAGCCTGTCATTCGCTACCTTCTTTTGCAAATGGTAGTGATTGGCATTTTGTGTGCTCTCCAGAAAAGGAGGCAGTCAGGCTTTCTAGCCTTTCTTCATTAAAGGGGTGCCCTAGAGTCATGTAAACATAGTAGCTAAGCCTTGCCAAACAAGGGTCTGTAAAAAGATGAGCCAGGTTTCTATGCTCAAAGATAATAAAATAAATGGTAGCTTAACAGTACAAAACTTGACAAGGCCAAATTTGAATCCCTTTGACAAGCTGATGCTGCCTTCGGGATGCCAAAGAAATCAAAGCAAATATGTGGGGAATGAGAAAAAATGAAAACCTAATTCCCAGTTCTTCGCCTGTGGCAACGTAACCATCCCTATCACAAAGGCTCACTGTGAGCTCACTGGAAAGTGAACTTCATACAAAATCCTAGTGTTTTTTTTTCTTAAAATATCTGCTATGAGAGATGCTTGCTAAACGGGTGGTTTTCAATGTAGCAGCAACACAGAAATAACATGCAAAAACAACTAAAGAGAGCAGCCACTCACTTGGAAGCAGACGGAGAATTTGTTTCATCTCTTCCTCAAACCCAATGTCGAGAATCCTGTCTGCCTCATCAATGATGAGACACTGGAGGTTCTTGTACACAAATTCTGATGTGTTCTGCAAATCACAAAGAAATCGGAGTACCTTGTGCTGTCAGTAAGTACTACACATCTGCACTGACCGAACAAAAAAACTGAGCATAAATTGTGCCAGATGAAGAAAACAGAACAATTAAGTGAATTGTCAGATCTATAGCTTATCTACATACTGAACAAACTGTAAGGAAATATCATTAGTATTGATACAAATTTACATGGGTGATCATGCTCAGGAGCTTGATTCGAGTGAAAGAGTAGCAACTGTAAGAGTGTGGGTCCAAGGACACCGTTTAATCACAGTTGTGACCTGCTGTTATAATATCTGCTTGCGACACAAAATTGTCTCATGGTGAATAATGAAACTACAGTTTTATTAGTTATGTGCACTTGTTTCTTTTTTTCTGTGTGTAATCATTGTTTGGCATTTTACAAAGTGAATTGGGGCCACCAAGCTCGTTCGAAGGGCAACTCCAGTTCACTTTCAATATTAAGAAAACAATGCAATTCTCTTTAGTATCGCCTAAAAAGACCGCACACCAATTATTTCCATCTAATGCCACCTAAAAGTTTATGAAATGAGCAAACAAAGTTTTAGGTGCGCGAAATTACCAAGATCTGCTAATCCTCGTGGGCAAGGCACAGTGGCGCCAACAGTGCAGTCAATATCCTCGTGTTGGTGCAGCCCACCCTGTGCTACCTACGTCATGCTCAGGGAGATTCGTTAACTTGTTTTGTACTTTTCCAAGCAAAGCCTACAGGCGCCGCTAGCACTGTGCTCATCACTGACCACGTGATCTGCAGAATTCGCATGCGTTTGTGTGCTCCCGTGCCAGCATGCGTCATCGCTGGCAGCGTATGCCGCGTGTGAGAGAGCCAGTTTACGACATTGAGCATGGCATATTTCTACAAACCCGTCGCAACATATTTTTTTTGTGTGGTTTACTGAACTCCGCTTTCTACTACTGTTTTCAAACCAAGCCCTTAGAAAAACTTCCTTTTTTTTTGCGCAAAAAGACAAGTTGGAGCTGCAGTAGTGCAGGCTTAGTCGGGTGTAGCAAACTGCCAATTGCAGCAGATGACACTTCCATCCTTGCACCCACCTGCTTGGTATGTGACATCCTTATTTGTACCACGTGGTTAGGGCATGGAGGTGATGGCACACGAGCAATGTTGCTCGCAGCAGGCAAGGTTTCGGTTTGTGAAGAGCTTCAAATAAACACTGTCAAAAAATATATGCAAGGTTTCGCTTTGTTGAAAAATTTTCAGCAAAGCGAAACCTTTCGTCTGAAAACAAAAAAGAAAACAGCGAAGCGAAACAAAGTTTTTCGCTTTGCTGAAAATTTTTACAATTTTTAGACGAAAATTGTAAAAAAAAATAGAGCACTTTTGCCGGGATATATAATCAACTATTAACTCAAATTTCTTGGAATTGACCAAAGTCGCCCTCTGTTGTCCTTAAAAATGTTTGTATTTGAAGTAACTTTTGGAGATAACATCGAGGTCCCCTTCCCTGTGCCCACAAAGAATGCCAAAGCAGTTGAGGCTGGCAGGATTCACATGAAAAGAAGTCTGAAGCCACTGGGTGACAAACGCCATTTTTCCAAGGCACAGCTTCTTCGGGCACTGAAGAATTTACGTCCCTTCACAAAACATCAATCACCACACTCCGACGCTCCTGGGAGACCTCAGCTGCAGAAAGCCAAATTCAGGGCTTTTACGTGCCAAACCAACGAAGGGCACCTGGAATGCCTCAATGAAGGACTGAGGATTAATTTGGACTACTCGGGGAACTTTTTACGTGCAACCAAAACGTCGACTGCACGGCGCTCCTTCTCCGCAACAAGCCTCTGTTGTATTGCGTACCTGTGAGCCGGGATTCAAACTCGCCAACTGGAAACCCGTAGGCCAGCACTTTTCCTCAAAGCAACCGAGGTGGCCACCTCGGCTGCAGGCGATGATGACGATAACAAAGTTCTCGGTAGTGCAACCATAATGCCTGGAACGCATCTCTGACCGGAGTGTTTATTGCATCATAAAAAGTGGCTTCTCGATTTCACCCCGATACCTAATGATGCCACAGGCGTGTCACATTGTCGCCGGCCGTGAACCCTAACAGGGCCGCAGCAGCGGTAATGGTGGTTATAGCAGACGCCCGTTCTGCTGCGGGTTGCTCTCCAGCCTGACAGTCCACGGAAGCTTCAGCAGACGAGAGTTGGGACTCAGCGACGACAGCGATGCTCCCATTTGCTCGTGCTTTTCTCCGGGACTTCTAGCACCGACCACCAGGATCTCGACGTCCGATGACATGACCATTGACTTCATTCAGTAGGGGGTTTTAGGGAACCGTTTTTGCACATCCGACAAGGTACGACGAGCCCTCCAGTACGAACTGCGCACGTGCCACCGCAGAAGACTCGCACGTGCAAAGCGCGTACCGGAGGGTCCATCGTACCGTATCGGATGTGCAAAAACAGTTCCCTAAAACTCCCTTCAGAACCACGTTCGACACATGGGCGGTATAGGATGCTGAAAACACGAGTCTAAGACGCATTCCAGAGGTCCAGTCTTGGTTGGAATGAGAGCGAGAGTGTCCTCGGCTGCCGATTGGACGTGGCGCTGAAGCTTGCACGTAATCCAGCGATGATACGTTTCGGATTCGCTTGCGAGTTCCCAGTCGGGCAATTTTTTGGTGAGAATGTCTCGCCAACGTACAAGTGGCGAGGGGTGTCGCAGCTTCCGATGTGCTTGTCCCGAGTACCACCTCGTCCACCGGTCGACGTCGGCTTGTGTACGGCAGTGGAACAACTCAACATTTGCAAACGAAGCGTGAGTTTTCGGCGCCTTCTGACGTGAAACAGCGGACAATCACAATTTCAGCCTGCATCCAATCTCACTTTGACACGGCGCACGGTTTGCAGCAGACAATAGGCTTTTTTTTACAGTCTCTTAGCAGACGACGCACGGTGTTTTCTCATTTCATTTCCATCTGCGAAGGGCGCTTTGAGCAGACTAATCACATCCTTCGCTCGTGCTAGCAGACAAATCGTCTAGGAACACTATCTTCACTCGCTCCGCGAGAGGCAAATTAAATCTCGCAGTGCTTAACGTCGGACCCCAGGCACTGTAGCGCAGCACCCACCTGCAGGTGGTCGAGCAGTCTGCCCGGAGTGGCCACCAGGAAGTTGACGCCCTTGGCGAGCTTGTTGGCCTCCGACTGGCGACTGGTGCCCCCCATGATGAGGCCCAGTGTCTGGTTCTGGTGGGTCAGCAGCTCCTGCAGCACGCCGAACGTCTGCATGGCCAGTTCCCTCGTTGGGGCTATCACCAGGGCCCCCGTGCCGTTGCGGGGCATGAACTTGAGCTTGGAGAGCAGCTCCACCGCCGGGATCAGGAAGGCCAGCGTTTTTCCACTGCCCGTCTTGGCCGCAGCCACCATGTCCCTAAGGCGAAACGAGGATCTTTTCAAAACGGGGGTATAAAGACGGGAGTGGGAAGCGGCAAATCGTAAGCACTGACATCGGTGGCCCCGCGAGAAAGGACAAGAAGGAAAGCGATGGAAGAGTGGTGAAACAAAGCAGACGATAGGCTAGGCGTGTTCGTTCTGCTGCGATGAGTTGAAGTTGCTCAAGTGCTTGTCAACTTTTCTTTATCTTTATACAATGCAAAATGCCGGTGTTTACCTGGAAAGTAAGTCAGAGAAAGACTGGGCACAGTCCTTACAGGTGATGTTTCGCTGCTTCTTTGTGTATATCACGGTGTCACCAACGACATGGGTGCATTGAGACCACCCACTGGAACCACCGATGTCCGCGTCTCTGCCCCACCGTTTCGAAGCAGCCACAAGGCATGGAACCTTTCCCTGTAGATTATAATATTAACTCTAAGCTTTGAAAACATCTCCACGTGGTGAATGATGTTGGTTGGGGTGAAGCTCTGGTGGTGCTTGTCTGCGTAGACGCTGAGCCGCAGCATGCCGAGCCTTTCGTTCGTTTTTATCCATGTCCGAAAGAGAATGTGTGGTATGGAACGTGGTTATATACGCATTTGAGCATTTGACCGCAGCGCCCTCTCGTCTTTAAACGTTGAGCCAATGCACGCAAAGTTTAACGGAATTATATACGCATTTGACCGCAGCGCCCTCTCCTGAATAGACGTTGAGCGGCTACATGCAACATTTCATCCATGACATCCCCAGCTCTTGAGTTACTACCACATCTCAGAGCCCCCTACTCGTCCCGCAGTCGTGGCCAAGTGGTTAAGGCGATGGACTAGAAATCCATTGGGGTCTCCCCGCACAGATTCAAATCCTGTCAACTGCGCAAACATTTCTTTTTTTGTTCTACACGAGCACGTGCTCACGTGCTCGTGAGCACGTGAGCTCACGAGCACCAGCAAGATCGATGTGAGCACGGACGCCGGACGGACAAGGCTAGACTCTAAGGAGCTTTGCCCCTAAAAGACCTCGTGCTGGCTGGCTTTTGATTAAATTTTTCTTAGGCGCAGCCCCTAGCATTGCATTGTATCTAAGATTACTTAAGCCCATTGACTACAGCATATGACCTCTCTACAGCAGTGGTTCTCGAATGGGGTCTGAAAAGCCCTCACTCTTTAGCCATGCCGAGCAATCAACTAATAAGCCTCTTTGTTATACTCGTCCACTTCAGGCTAGCAGTCAGTTGCGTTAATTTGTCCTGTCGTCACTGGAATAAACTAATACTCTCTCCCCTCTAGATCGGGTCCCCATCACCGTACTGCCGGTCCACGAGGGGTCCCCGAAATATCAACAGTTGAGAGTCACTGCTCTGGAGTAAACTGATACAGCAAAAACCTGGATATGGTGATGCAAAGTTGAAGTATGCTTGCAACTAGTAGTTGCTAGTAGTGAACATGTTTTAGAAGTAACAAAATAATTTGATGGCCTAGTTGGTTAAACATAGTACAAAAAATTAGCTCAAAGGATGAACACAGGAAGAAGAAGTAGGTAGACAGGACAAAGCACTACTTAAAACTGACATTTTGTAAGAGGATAGAAGACAACAAAGATAAAATTGAGACTAAAATCATAGAAAGAAGAGAAGAAAGAACATGCTAGAGAAGGAAGGGAAGAAGGCAATATCAGAAACATTCTAGAAAAAAAAAATAAAGATAAAGGAAAAGAAATATATTGAAAAAAAAAAGAGCCTATCAAAAACAGTGCAGGTACTGAGGTTCCTTCATAGACAAGTTTAACGATGGAGCACTAACACACGCATCTTCTCTGGTTTCTATGACGTGGGCTTTATCTATTTCCCGTGTTCTTTTCTCCACACTTCATCACAGGATCATTGTACAAGCAAACAACGGGTGGCATCCACAATCCCTCACGTGTACTGCTAGATGTCCCAACGATGCAGAATTAAGAGAGAGAGTATGTTCTCTTAGCCTAATGTTGATGCACCGTCCTGACTGGCCCACCCATGATTTCCCATAGGACATTGGAATCTCGTAGACGACACCGATGCAGCAGTTGACATATTGGTGGACTTCTGTCACACCGCATCCACCATATATCGCACAACTTCAAGAAAGTTGCTGCCAAATACCAAGTCCAGGTAGTGCTCTCTGCTCCGGATAAGCTAAGGTGGCTCTGCTCCCAGATAAATTACCCCCAAAATCAACATGACGAATGCGGCATGACAATGTCCACCAATATGTCAACTGCTGCATCGGTGTCGTCTACGAGATTCCTATGTCTTGTGGGAAGTCGTATGTGGGCCAGTCAGGGTGGCGCATCAACATTAGACTAAGAGAACATTCTCTCTCTCTCAAATCTGCACTGTCAGGACATCTAGCAGAACATGTGAGGGACTGCGGGTGCCACCTGTTGTTTGCTCGCACACTGGACCTGTGACGAAGAGTGGACAAAAGAACACGGGAAATAGACGAAGCCCACGTCATAGCAACCAGAGGGGATGCATGTATTATTGCGCCGTCGTTAAACTTGTCAATGAAGGAACTTCAGTACCCGCACTATTTTTCATAGGCTTTTTTATTTTTCCAAAATTCTTCCTTTTCAAATACAAATTTTTAGTACTGTTTTTATTTCCTTGGTGTTTTTTTTTTCATTGTTTCTTTCCCTTTATCCCTATTCTTTTTTCTAGAATGCTTCTGGTATTGCCTTCTTCCTTTCCCCCCTCTTCTAGCATATTCTTTCTTCTCCACTTTTTATGATTTTAGTCTCAATTTTATTTTTGTCTTCTTCTATCCTCTCATAAAACGTCACTCGTAAGTAGCACTCTGTCCTGTCTACTTCTTCCTGTGTTCGTCCTTTGCACTAATTTTGTGTACTATGTTTTAGAAGGTCTGAAGTAACAACACTGAGGTATAATGACGGCAGCTACATAACCTGCCCCTCACAACGTCAATCAAGTTTCAAGCTTAGCTGAAAATGTAATGAAATTGCTCGCTAATAAAAAAAAATTGTTTTTTTGTTTTTTTAGAAGTTATGAAAATAATCCATTCATGCAGCTAATGCACATGCAAGCAGCACTGCTAGATTTAAGTGCCACGCATCGAAAGCCCTTTGACCATAAGACGCCATCCGTGACAGCCAGGGTTTTCCCAGGAATTGAAATTAGGGGGTGTCTAAATTTTTAAGGGGGGGAGGAGGGGGCTAGAAAACAGAGGAGTCGTTGCGAATTAAGGGGATGCCTTCAGAAAAACAAGGGGGGGGGGGGGGGGGGGGGCAGGGGTGTATATCCCCCCCCTAGGAGGTGTTTAGGGAAATCCCTGGTAACAGCCACATGCGCCACATCCTCAGCAGCACGAAACCCACCTTCCTTCGAGCAGGTGTGGTATGGTCTTGGCCTGAATCTCGGTCATCTGTGTGAACCCCATCGCCTTGACTGCCTTGAGGCTGGCTTCCGAGACCACACCCTTGAACGAGTCAAACCGGGTATCCGACAGCACTCCCAAACTTGTGCCTGGCACTGCAGCAGAGTTACAAGCAAATCCAAGAAACACAATAAGGAAGTTGCAGTCAAACTAATACCACTTTCACACTGCACACATAATGGCTGCTTTCTCTGGACTGCGTGGTAGTTGCTACCACGCAAACTAAAGGGCAAGTCCTGTATAACTTCCACTTTAGCATGTTAGTGATTTTGGGCTATGTTCCCCACTCTAAACACACCTGTTAAGTTTGGAAAGCCCTTAAATGTATCCAGAAGTTGTCCGCAGAGTGCATCATGTGAAAGTTCCTGAAGAACCCTTCAAAGAGGGTCAACACAGTGAGAAAGGCTAAGAGGAAAGGAGCACCCACTCATGACATGGCAGTTAGATGCTCCAGGGCTTCGGAGCATTCGCCACCTAGCGCATGCGGCTTGTTCGCCCGTGGTGTGAAGATTCAATGCCCGGTGCTCGCAAACTCGAAACTAAGCCGCCGTTAGTAAAAGAAGAAATAGATGGGAATATTCCCTGTTACTGTGAGCATTGTCGACAGACCGAAAGTACAGGGAGGTTCCTGTCAGAGGATCAATTCTAGGTTGCGCATTCTCCGTCAAAAGAATGAAAGGCTGAAAAATTAAATGTGACGCAATTATGACACTTTCCGACAAGTTTCTACATATCTGCTGCTCTCCAAAGTCGTTAAAAACAAATCTTTCTGCCTATCCATAGAGAGTATGCTTCAATTAAGGCTAGTAATATCCCTCACATCAATATGGTTTAAATTATTTAGTACCAAATAGCATGTACCTACACAGAGTTTGTGCTAGTGCTGTGCTAACAGATAGAACTGGTATTGAGATTACAAGCATATTCTGTAGATCGTGATCTAAAGAATGAGGCTTGAAGGCAAGGATCGCATTCCGCTTGTTTCATTTATTTAGTCCGTCCCCCGTGTCTAAAATCAACGCCTAGGTACTACTGTGCCTGTGTTGGGCTCGTCAGTACAGCTCAGTGCCTTTTCCGTGCTTGCTCTTTTCCTCACGCTCTAATTACTGTAAAATACCGCAAAAATGCCCACTTCGTTCAAGTGCTTACTACTAACATTTCCCAAACTTGGGAATTCTGCAAATTATACATTAACCGCTCGATTTGACCAGACAAAAGCCCATGTCGAGATTAATCCTGTTCTCAGTGAAAGTGCCGTGAGTGCTCCCCCGGTATTTTACAGGTAATGCGCAGCGTCTGTTTTGAGCCATTTTAATATAATTTAGTTTCTCCATCCTTCCTGTCACAACACGGTGAAGCAAAATAAAAGCAAGACTTCGTGGGTCATTTTGGTTGTACGCAGGTGTGCCCACTGTTTTTGCTGAACAAATCTCATCAATGAATTGGTATTGACATGTTATTTTTCATTACACTTTTCTTTCCCTATTTTTGTATAACTTTTTTTTTTCAGTGAAATTGAGCACATTATTTGTACAACATGAACAGGCTAATAGTAACATTGTCTTGACAATTTTCAGGAAAAGAAGGACTTGTCTTTTAATAAAATGGAGGATGCATTGTTTGCATGTAAAGAGAAAACATGCCTCGGAAGTCTGTCTCACGTCTTAACTGTGAAGGGACGATGTGGCCAGTCCAGCATGACTGCTAATTAAGAGAAGGTGCTAAACACTGTGAAGAAGACATGGATGGATGAAGTAACACTTTTTGGAGGGCTAGTTGGTTCATGATTTGTAGAAATAAATGAACTGCGCAAAGGACGAGGACAGAGGTAGAAACGGGTATGCTCTGTGTGTCGTACTCGTTTCTACCTCTGTCCTCGTCCTTTGCGCAGTTCATTTATTTCTACAAATGGATGAAGGTATGCGTAAAACAAGGACTGGCGCCAACCTTCAACTGATTTACTTACTCGCTGCAAAGTCAACAGAGCTCATATATGTAGATGCTATTTTGCTCATTTAACAACCAACACCAACAAAGAAATAAGTTCATAAAGAAGGCAAAACAATGTTATCAAAATTCTCAGTCCCACAAAAAGCCGTCAAGAAAAGATAGTTATTTGTCAGAGTGAATTAAAGGCACGCTAATGCATCTGCCCTTAATCTTGTTAATTAAAAAAAAAACTTTAAAGAATGTATTTTTTTTCTCCTATATTTCGCTAGTTTTACAGACTTTCGCTTTTTTATTTCAAAAAGTGGTCTGCATGAAGAATGGTTTTAGCGTTCAGCAAGATGCACCCCAACTGTTATGCACTGATAGTCTGCCAGCTTTGTACCATGCTACAATGTATATCCCTAGTTGTACTCCAGACTGGCTGTCTGGGTAGAAGTGACTAAAGTTGTGCACTGACAAAAGCAGCGAGCATTCCTTACATGGTTCAGCTTGCTCCTCCTCAGCATCTTCAGATTTAGCATTGACTGGAAGGAAAGGAAAGAATGGCTGAGTGATAGAACTGGGATTCAAGGTTAGCTATCATAGTCAGTGTCAGGGTAAGACTGAAGTGGAAGCTCCTCTCTACTCTTTCCACTTCAGCAGAGCGAATGCTCAAAAGGAGGCGACCTTCTTTTCAATGTTTGTTCTGCTAAAGTGGAAAGAGCTGAGAGGAGCTTCCACTTCACTCTTACTTAAACTGACACCGACTATAGCTGCGAACGCTACGATGCAAATTTACACCTCGCTAAATATCACCTGACATAGCCAATTGAAGAACAGCTCCATCATTCATTCAAAGTAACGCACATCACATGCCACTCATCTAGTTATGCGCAATCATTCATACCACGGACCATAATCGATTGGAACAACAACCAGCTAACATTGCAACTGAACTAGATATGTCTAACTTCCAAGTGCTTGTGTGCAGTTATACTAATAGTGAGGATTCTTTTTTATTCCTTGTCCTCATATCTTCCTAATTTGTTTATGTTGTTGCCGGTAATATATACCGAGCTGCAGCGGAAATAAAGTTCAGTAGTAAGTAGCGCTGTGTCTGCGTCTTCTTCTGTGTCCGTCGTCTTGTTGCGCTTTTTAATCATCATCTCATATTGTCTTTGTATACCTTTTTTTTTTTTTGTGTACTATGATATATTTGCTTGCTTGCTTGCCCTAAAGGCCCTCATACAAAGGGCCTTTAGGGGTATTTTGAATAAATAAATAACTCCGAAAAACACCCGCCGGTAAAAACCTTTTGCTAATTCTAATTTATCCGATAAACTCCAAAATTTTATGTTCCAATGCAAAAAGAAAGAAGTTAATTTAAAAGTTTCAGTTCACCCCGCACAGCCGTGGGGTAGCGTGATTGAATAGGACGGCATCAAAAACGAGTTTCAAAGCTGATGGAGAATACCTCCTGGAACTTAGTAATTTTAAGGTATCAATGTTTATTGCAGCAACACTCGTTCAGAAGTTTTGTTGTGGAACAGATTACCTAGTATTGCCAATGGTGAAAGCAACAACACTAAATCCAGCTGAAAAAATATTATTTAATACAAGCGCATTTTTTTTAATCTAGGACATGTTTACACCCAAATATTATTATTATTTTTTTGTAATCGGAAACATTTTATAATTAAACTTCAAATTTTGGACAATTGGGAAACTAACATCTGACGAAAAATAAACTCTGAAAACATGGAACCCTAGGAATAAGCTAAGGCTTTGAACAAGGAAAACACGAGAAAGAAAAAAAAAAAGTAACAAACAGCCTTCGTTGTCCGTCCCCCCTTTCTATGTATCTTTCTCAGGTTGAATTACTGTCACCAACACGCTCGTTTTGTACTTAACATGTACACCTCTTTCATTGAAGTTCAAGAGAAAAATACCTCCATGTAAAGCTTAAAGTTACAAACTACCATAATATCCCGAGAGATAGCCCACCTAAAACTGAGCGGAAATTGGATAAAAATAAGGAGTTTCCCGGTCACCAGTGTTCGCTTATATCCCGCCATAGCTAACAAGACACATGTACGCCGAGGTCATCATTGATCCGAACACTATGATTACTAGGAGTGGGCTATCTTTCAGTGGTGGGGCATCTCTCAGGATTTTACAGTAAGTCCTGTATGATTTTAGGAAGTCCGAGTCATACCTTAGAGCGCCCATTTCGGCAGTCAAATTTTTCTCGCTTGAGGAACATGGTACAATTCTAAGCTGACCCTGTTTATGTAGGGTTGTCAGTCTACCACTCACCTGGGCTCTCGCTCTGATCTTCCTCTGCCTCTGGCATCTGTTCATCGTTGGCATCATCTTCGATGTCTTCTATGTCTCCGACCGGGGCTTGTTTCTTCGATTTAGCTTAAAATCAGACGTAATGAATCGGCTTTAGAAATCGGTCACGGTCAAACACCCAACCTCTGGCATTTACGCCGAGGTAAATGCATCGAATGCATGTCACATCAAAATTGCACATGTAAGTAAACCAATCCGATGCAGTGATCTGGCAATAGGTATCAATGCATAAACTGTACGTTAAAGGCTATTACACAGTGCCGAAATCCTAGAATTCACAGTCTACTTCGTGGTGGTCACTGACAAACTGATGTTTGGAGTAACTCACCCAGCTTCGCCTCGCCTTCGAGCCCTTTAAGAGCCCTTAACTTTTTCCTGCTTTTCTGTCGCTTCTTGATCTTTCTCATAACAATCTGATCGTGAATTGCCATCTTCAATGATGCTCAAACACAGTGGAATTTCAAGAAAGAAACGATCGCACTCTAGGAAGACCGCACGACCACGCTGCTGCGAACTGCGAATGCCTAAAGAACTGGATTGGCTTCGATTGGCTAAGGGCACTAAGGGTGTGAAGCCGCGAACGAAGTCGTGCGAAAGAAATCCACTCCAATCCACTCCTTTATCCAACACAAGCTTGATTGAGGGCGTCGGCAGCGTTGATGCGCGCGTAAAGTGTACTATTCCAAATTGTTTCAAGCCCAATGCCTTTGCAGGAGAAATGTCCCTCGTGAGATCCGAGCAATGTGTCGGACTGAACTCTGTTCAAAGCCACGTTGTGGGTCCGTACTGGGAGCAGCGCCACAACTCGAAACCTTTCGAATCGCCCAGCACGGCAACCTCCGCCAACTTGGTCAGGGACTGGGAGAAGTATTTGAGCAGCAGCGGTGTGCTCACTCCCACGGGTGAGCACACCTTTCTAAGCGAAAGGATCGTTGCGCGAGAGGTTCTCTGGATGCTGCGCGGCATCAAGGAAGTGTTCGTCTTCTCATGGGACGGCTCGGCGTTCGTCGTGAACGACAACATTCAAATGCAGCATGTCACTCATGGGACCCTCAAGAATTTTCTCGCCGATACCTGCCCTTACGGCAGCATGATCGTGCACCTGCAAGACTTCGTATCTGCTACCGTGCACGCGAGTTATCACCAGCTGGAAACGACGCAAACCCTGCAAGCCTTCGCGAGCTCCGTTTCATTCTTGTTAAGAGCGTATTGCGAGAAGTTGCTGGCACTTGAGCGAATACTCATAGACCAGGAAGAAACGCTCACACTGGCCATGTTGTTTCAAGAGCTGCAACCCTACTTCGAAGGCATAGTAAATGTCCACAACATCTTCAAGCAAGCGGTTTTGAGTTCTGTGGGCAAGAGTTCTGCAGAGCAGGGATTATGCTTACTCAATCTTTTGGAGCGGTCGCTGGTTGATGCAGAAGCGGCGGGTCAAAAGCTCGTCATGCCACAAATAGTGAAGCTGTACCTCGACACGATCAAACCTTACGTTGACTTTGTGGACAAGTTCATCTCTACAGGAAAGCTCGAAGATGTTTATGGGGAGTTTTTGATTAAGCGGGCTGAGAACATGACATTGGAGGATCCAAGATACTGGAAGGACTCCTTCTATATCAGTGATCAAGAGAGTTCCATGTTCCTGAGTCCGCTGCTAGAATCAATCATCTCAGCAGGAAAATCAGTGGAACACCTGAGATTTGCCAACCATGCCGCAGGCAGCAAGATGGTGGGAAGTCTTCACAAGGACATTGTAAGCAAACTTCAGGCAAGTGTGACGGTGCAGGAGATGGTTGACGTGAATTTCAAAAGCTCTGGTGTGGAATGTGAGAATATGGAGAAAGTTGCCAAAGACATTGTTGCTTCGCTCGAAACAACAAAATCGAACAAACTTGTTGGTTTTGAATTCCCTGCCAAAGTCAAGGCTGTGTGCAGTGTTGGTCAGCTAAACTGTGCTCTGCCAACCATTCAGAGAGTGATTGAGCAGCTTGTGAAGGAAAGATGCTTAACGGCCAGTGCCAAGTTCCTCGGTTTCTTCAAGCTTCAGTCCAAGCTGTTTGAGAGTGTCGAAACTGTTCACAACCACTTCCTCATGCTTGCTGGCGAGGTAATGGACTGCTTTACCGCAGAAGTATTCTCCAAGCTGCTGTCGGGCACACCGGAAATGTGGCAGAACGGACCCTTCCTGAATTTTGCCCTCCAGGAAGCGCTGGCGTGGCAAGCCTGTCCTATTGTGGGGAATCTCGACATACATCTCAAGGACAGCGCTCCCAAAATGTGGCTGGATGGATTCGACAATGTTGTCCTGAGGTATTCAGCTGCATGGCCCGTCACAATCGTGTTGACCGATGCGTCCTTAAAGGTTTACAACCGCGTTTTTACCCTCCTCTGCAAAGTGAAGTGTGCCAAGTTTGCCCTCGAAGAACTGCACTTCCGGTCGCTGGAGCCAACACATGCTGGCTTATCGAAGAGATTGAGACAAAACGCTCATGCTCTCCAGTTACTGAAGTTCCAAGTTTTCAGCTTTTTGAATGCCTTCCACGACTGCCTGATGAAGGAGGCCCTGTACGGAAGCAAACTTGCATTTGACAGGGACCTCAGGGATGCAGCTGACCTGGACGCGGTCATCGAGTGCCACGAGAACTTTGTAGCCAAGATCCACGAACAGTGCCTCCTTGGCGAGAAGTTTGTAGCCATCCAACAGATCATCCTAGCCTTGCTAAAGCTCTGCATCAAATTGCATGTTTTGTGGAACAAGGGTATTGAGCACATCATTGGTTCTCAGATCAAAGACATTTGGGACAGCTTCCTCATGTTTCATGTGAAATTTAGGCATGTGGCTGAATGTTTCATCAGCTCCAGTCATTGTGACACTTCCAGAGTCCTAGCCTTTGCTGCAAATTCACCCTTCCTTCAGGCAGTGAAGTTGTAGGATGTATGTGAAAGGATTGATGTTGCCAAAGATTAGCATGCTTCCAGGTGCCTAGAGACCTCAACAAGCATTTACTTTTCTTTGTGCAAAGTTGCATCCAAATTTAAATGTGACGCTATGGAAATGTTAGTGTTATGAAATAACACTTTCTATGTGCCAATAAAGATGCAGCAGTTATTCAGTTCTATACAGCAAATGACAGCTAATTTGCTTGAAAACATTAAATGTTGAATTTTCTTAGAAATGCTTGCTCTCATTTTAGTTTAGTTTTACTTTATCGCTTATGAACAAGCAACTTTGCCACATCTGGGTTTGACTGTTCGTCATCCTATTTACACCCTTTGTGCCGAATCTTCTTGATATGTTGTCTGATTAATTTTTTTTTTTTTTTATACCCGCCATTCTTATTTGCAGATCAAAAGAGATTACTGCACTTATGCAGGTACTGTGATCTGCTTCTACTGAACATCTTTAGATGGAGCTCCAAGTGACCATGAGAATTTTCCTACTTTAGGTAACTATAATCACAGACAAAATGAGAACAGCAAGGAGTTTTAGTTGTCTCGCCTTGAGCGCAAGCTTGATAGGCATGTTGAAAAATGGACAGTGCCATCCACGTAGCCAAAAGGAATGCCAAGAACAATCTGTACAGAACCAGTTGAAATGGATGACGGAAAAGATGTAGATAAGGGCAGTCAAGGAGCTGTGCTACCGTCTCTCTTGCTTTCTTTAGTGTAACGTGCGACCTTTCTGGTTTTTCGCAAAAAGATCTGCGTGTGGGATGAAGAATTCTAGCTTTGAATTGGACCTTTTTCAGATAGACCTGTAGCAAAACGGGCAGAGCGTCCACAGCGCCGAAAGGGATGCTGGGAACGGTATGTACAAAACCGGTTTTAGCAGACGACGGAGGAAACGTGGGTTATGGCAGGCGAGCAACTGCACTACCCCCTCTCACATTTTGGCGTCATGTGGTATGTGCTGCAGGGCAAGGAGGGTAACGGACTTCTCGTGCGGCATTTTCATATTTTTGCAAAAGGTCTATTATCCAGGACAGATCTGCTATGCGTTCTAACCATAACACTGAACATTAAATCACTTCAATGTCCCTTTAAAGGGTAGCTCTGGTCAATACTTTTTTTAATTTGGGATTACGACTGTTTTCAGCTAAAACAGTGTTTCTGAATTGCAAGTAGTGATGAGACAAACTGTCCTGTCCCCTCCTTCTCTTCTCAGTCTTTTGCGCTTTCAAATCCTCCGTCTAGAGACAAACTATTTTTCAAACCGAGATTTGGACCCGAATCTGGAGATTCGGAAAGGTTCCGAATCTTTTAGTGATTCTGACGGTTCGGATAGATTCGGACAGACCACACCATACCCTTCGGAAGAAGAGTTGAATCCTTTGCTTACTAAGATATTTATTATACGTGTATCATAGACGACACATTAAGCTTCCATATTACGCTTGAAATCTGTATCATACCAAAGGTTGAAATAAGTGAAATAAAATCCTATTTCCTGACAAAAATGTTGGGGCGCCCCCCAAGCAGGAAGACCCCGAGCATCGCCCTCGATGCCAATGGTGGAGATTAAAGAGGTACGCACCATGTGCATGAAACAAAACGATGGGCTACCCGTTTGTCTCCAGTAACACCGTAAATAAACCAAAACTGATTCATATTTGCGAACAATACAAGACCCACAAGTGAGAACCGAACATCCGGTGATTCGCCCCATCACTAATTGCAAGGTGCAATTTCTTTCTTTTTTTTTTTTTTATTGTGTGGTTTTATAAATATCGCGGCTCAAAGTTTGGTTTCGGGCGTCTGCGGCAGAACCGAAACTATCTGTTGGAGGGATGGCAGTACTGATCATCAGCCGTATGGCCGTGACGTGACATCACAGGGGTGCCAACATTATTAGATTAGCTCAGTTACGGAATTGCTCATAGATGCTGCATGCAAGAGCAGTACCCCCCTCACTCACCACGACTCGCCTCCTGTCGCTCGACGTGCCGGACGGCTGCTTTGGTAACTGGAGTATATTCTATGGGATACATAAGTTTCGAAGTGCAGCATCTAGATGGCGTTCCACAGTACTCCATGGAACATACACTTCGTAAACGAAAATCTATATGGCGCTTCGAACGACGGGAGGCAGACTGAAGTGAGTGAGGGGGGGTACCCCTTCCGCGGGAGTTCCACAACAGAGGTAATCAGTAACGTTGAAGGGTGCTGTGGTATGCGGTACAACCAATCAACCACAGCTCCACCGTGACGCAACGTCACAAGCACGCCGCGCCAGTGTTCCTTGACTAAAAGCTAACCCCCTTATCACCCGCTAAAGAGCAGCTGGTTGCATCTTTGAAATCGGTTTTAGTGGAGTATGCAGCTTCACTTCTGACATCATATTTCGGCTGCGATCATATTTTGTTCCGCTAAAGCGATACCAGTCATTTATTTTGCTGTGATGGAAGCAGCATTGGGCCTTTTGTAGCAGGAAAGATATTGGTTTGAAGCAGCCACTGACGATTTTTTGAGCAGACGTCAACGTCTTAGCACGTCACTTGAAAATGTGATTGAAATAGTTGAAAAATGAGGCATAGAGCAACACTTCAGTTGATATAAAGACTCTCTCTCCTCCCTACTTTTACACTCGGTAGTTATTTAGCCTGCAAATTTCTTTAAAAGGTCGGCAAAAATCAGCATATCCGTGGAAAAGTTTACAGTTCAAAATACGTCCCCGCAAATTTTATGAACACCTACCTCAAGATTCGAATATAATTAACACCAAAAACAACCACCCCCATACATTATTAAAATCTATGTATTTTGCTTTAAAAGTGGAACTGCACTTTAGCACCGTTCGAACCAGAGTTGAGTCGAAGTTTACTGCCCTTTCGATTGACTGCTGCAGGGGAACCACCTTGACTACCGTATTCATTTAAATAAAAACCCGCGTTTTGTCTCGTTCTTTGGCACATCCTTTTAAAATCGGGGTTAACCCCGAGTCAAGACCAAAGAAGGTCAACCTGTAATAGTATTAAGCATAATTTCCAAGCCAATCATGCTAATCTATGCTCTGATGAACAGAACAGCGCACACAAAGACAAGGACAGAGAAAAGGAACCTGCAGGACACACAAGCGCTGACTCGCAACTGAAATTTATACACAAAAGAAAGAAGAAGAAAACGTTCTGAAAGACACGCAGGGCACGCAGTGCTTATGACACGCGACACAGCACCATCTAACTGCAATGTCTTTGCCCCATAGTTCTTTCTAAAAACAAGGTTTCAGTGTTTAGTAGTGTCACTGATGGGTGGCTGACGCAGCAGTCCCCCAGGCTGTTGATGCAATGTGCTTCTAAGATTTCGCGAGTTGTCTTGTCTCGATAGTGTCCAATTATTGTTGTGCCTTTTAGAATCGGAACACACGAGCAGGAATTGCAGTGAACTGGAAGGTGACCACCCACCGTAGATTTTAGCGAACGATCATGCTCGAGAAGGCGATCGTTTAGGCACCGTCCGGTTTGGCCCACATAGCTTTTACCACACGTTAATGGGATTTTGTAAACCACACCAAATGAACACGGCACATAAGGGTGGCTGTGGCGTTTCTGGCACTTGCCTTTGTTGAGGTTATCCGCTATCGAGCGAACCTTTGAACAGATTTGTGCCATTCTTTTTGGAGCCGAAAACACCACAGGCACATCGTACCTTTGGGCTGCTCTTTTTAAATTATGAGAGGTTTTGTGCATGTATGGTACAACAACCTTTCGTTTCTGTGGTTCTCGAGGTTTCTTTCTCCGAATCCCTTTAGTCTTGCGTACTAAGACCGCCACCACCTCGTTTAAGACCTGTGATGGAAAGCCCGACTTTTGGAGTCTCTCAACTTGAGCATTAAAACTTTCACGAACAGTGTGAAAGCAGGACTTCGTAAGTGCAGCCCCAAGTATGGTAACCGCAATCCCCCTTTTAACAACTTTCGAATGTGCGGATGTGTAGTGAAGGATGCCCTTTTTTGACCTAGGGGAGAAACTCCAGCAGATATGGTTTGTATGAAGAGATAACGATAGGTCCAGGAACTGTAACTTTCCGTCCGAAGGTTTTTCAACAGTGAATTTAAGCCCAAAGCCACACCTGGAAAATACGCTCATAACCTTATCAACGTAATCACCTTCAACAGACTTGGGATACACTAGCAAAAAATCGTCAACGTATCGGAACACCTTTGACACTTCTGATGTGCTAAGGGCACCTTCAATAGCTCTATCAACACTTGCTAGAAAAATATCACTAAGAACGGGGGCCACGCATGATCCTATGCACACCCCTGACCGCTGCGTAAAGGTACCATTGTTCCAGCCAACGATCATAGAGTTCAAATAGAATTGCAGAAGTTCTAGAAATTCAGCAACATCTCCAACTGACTTGTTCATTTCATAAAAGGACCTGCGGCACCGCTCTTGAGAGCCCCCTTGGGTGGAGCATGCTGTCCACAGACAGTCCTTGAAAAAACGCGCTTGCCTCCAGTATTCGGAGCGCAATATTTTGCACATTCTTCGAGAATGTCCAGCAGAGGGAGTGAGGAAGCCACATAAGCCTTGAAGTTCAATCGGACACGTACCTTGTCGAATATGCCATGAAGCAACCCTTGCACTGCACACACGCTGTGCTGCCAGGTTGACCAGAAGAAAGGGATTTTATTCTCTTCCACACCAAGCATTACTTGCCTCAGTCAAGTCCTGCATTGAAGAGCAAGGGGAGCTCTCCTTCAGAAACTCTAGTGGTGTTTCTTTAGAAGGCTTTCTAGAACTTCTGCAATTCTATTTGAACTCTATGATCGTTGGCTGGAACAATGGTACCTTTACGCAGCGGTCAGGGGTGTGCATAGGATCATGCGTGGCCCCCGTTCTTAGTGATATTTTTCTAGCAAGTGTTGATAGAGCTATTGAAGGTGCCCTTAGCACATCAGAAGTGTCAAAGGTGTTCCGATACGTTGACGATTTTTTGCTAGTGTATCCCAAGTCTGTTGAAGGTGATTACGTTGATAAGGTTATGAGCGTATTTTCCAGGTGTGGCTTTGGGCTTAAATTCACTGTTGAAAAACCTTCGGACGGAAAGTTACAGTTCCTGGACCTATCGTTATCTCTTCATACAAACCATATCTGCTGGAGTTTCTCCCCTAGGTCAAAAAAGGGCATCCTTCACTACACATCCGCACATTCGAAAGTTGTTAAAAGGGGGATTGCGGTTACCATACTTGGGGCTGCACTTACGAAGTCCTGCTTTCACACTGTTCGTGAAAGTTTTAATGCTCAAGTTGAGAGACTCCAAAAGTCGGGCTTTCCATCACAGGTCTTAAACGAGGAGGTGGCGGTCTTAGTACGCAAGACTAAAGGGATTCGGAGAAAGAAACCTCGAGAACCACAGAAACGAAAGGTCGTTGTACCATACATGCACAAAACCTCTCATAATTTAAAAAGAGCAGCCCAAAGGTACGATGTGCCTGTGGTGTTTTCGGCTCCAAAAAGAATGGCACAAATCTGTTCAAAGGTTCGCTCGATAGCGGATAACCTCAACAAAGGCAAGTGCCAGAAATGCCACAGCCACCCTTATGTGCCGTGTTCAATTGGTGTGGTTTACAAAATCCCATTAACGTGTGGTAAAAGCTATGTGGGCCAAACCGGACGGTGCCTAAACGATCGCCTTCTCGAGCATGATCGTTCGCTAAAATCTACGGTGGGTGGTCACTTTCCAGTTCACTGCAATTCCTGCTCGTGTGTTCCGATTCTAAAAGGCACAACAATAATTGGACACTATCGAGACAAGACAACTCGCGAAATCTTAGAAGCACATTGCATCAACAGCCTGGGGGACTGCTGCGTCAGCCACCCATCAGTGACACTACTAAACACTGAAACCTTGTTTTTAGAAAGAACTATGGGGCAAAGACATTGCAGTTAGATGGTGCTGTGTCGCGTGTCATAAGCACTGCGTGCCCTGCGTGTCTTTCAGAACGTTTTCTTCTTCTTTCTTTTGTGTATAAATTTCAGTTGCGAGTCAGCGCTTGTGTGTCCTGCATGTTCCTTTTCTCTGTCCTTGTCTTTGTGTGCGCTGTTCTGTTCATCATGTCATCATACCAACTCGCCCAACTTACTACACTTCTGTAATCTATGCTCTCCCCCGTCAAGCACTGCTCCTAGCACTCCGGTGCAAAGTGGTGTTCTCAATGTGCGCACGTGCTGGTGCGAGCTTGAGGCAAGCGGCAAAAGTGCCACGGTACACTGTAGCCATGCCGTGGAAGCATGTAATGGACACGATAATCAAGTGATATCATCAGGAGTAAAAGACCCTGGGTCCGTCTTATTACAGAAGCCGCTATCCCACTATTTTGCAATTTCTCTCGCAACTTTTAGCTACCGTCAATGAACTGTACAGATAATTTCATTGGCTAAACCAATCAAGCGCTGCGAATGCCCCGATTTGGACTTTTAGTTTGTGACTTGTGTTTGGGCCTTCGACTGTGTTCTGCTCTGACCCAAGACGAAACACACTATACAGTGGGTAGAGATGCTGTGAAACAGATTTGTACCGTTTTTGTTTCCTTCTACTCTTCTAAAATTAGAATCGGCCAATAATAAAATATTTTTATGTTTTACTTTCTTCGAGTCCACCTTGGCGTTGGTATAGCACAATTCTCAGCAAAAATGGCGCTTTAGAGCAAGGTGTAGCACTTTAATTCATGGCACAATTTGGTGCGAATGGCACAGCACTTCCATCACCAATTTTGGTTTTGTTTTCAACCGGAGTTGCTTTTTAAAGGGGCCCTTTTTTTGCGGTTTCCAAGTTTCTTGGGGTTCGGGCAAGCCAGCGGGCACGGAGAAAGTAACTAAATATTAGTGCGTAAAATTTTAACCGGACGACGCAAAAAACTTCACCTACGGGGGCGACCCGCGGTGCCGAAAGCGCACAATATGTGACGACATTGCGACGTTTTAGGTCCTGACCTTTCTACTGGTCAGAGCCACTAAAAGCTTCCTTTTAGTCTAAATACAAAATATAAGTGGTGCGAGCAGTTTCAATTAATTATAAAAGTAGTATTTGTTCAGTACTTTAGGTCAGAAAAGACCTAATCGCACGTTCCGACCCAAGAAATGGCAGCGGCCAATGTTGCTTGAAGGGGTTTTAAAAAGGGTCTTTTATGCCTACTTGGAAGGCACATCAAAGCCTTGTCACCTACTTCAGAAAATATGCCACTTAAAAGGCACGTCAAAGTGCAAAGCCTGAAATTTGCAGAAAGCCTAGTGAGAATGGATGAAAGCTCGATTTGCAGATATTGGGAAGCAACAATTTTAATGTCCTCTTTGTGTCAGCCCCCTTCCCTAAGACGTCTGGTTGGTGTTCGGACCCCTCCTGCGGCCAAAGGTTGCGACGGCGTTGACGAAGCGCCTGTTGTACTGGATGCGCCTCTTGGCACGCCCGGTCTTCTTTTTCTTCTTCTCCTGCTTGTCCACCTGTTTCAACAAAAGCAATGTCTCATCCTTCTGGATCTATGCTACCATACACCGTTTCATATGAAGTGCATAATGCTGTCGAAGCTGCTGGTCGGAGCATGTGGTTTGTACCTGCAGTTAATTTCTATGTCAGAGCATGTGGACAAGACTGTAGCTGGTGGGGGTGCACCATGCACTGTAGACAGTTCCATGTCCTTCCAAGTAGACTGAAATGCAGTGATGTGATTGGCCTAAGCCGTTTTGGAGCACCTTTCGGAGCAACCAAAACAGTGTTTTGGAGCAGCAAAAGTGGCTTTTGGAGCAGCCAAAACAGTGTTTCGGAGCACCAAAAATGGCTTTCAAAGCAGATATTCTTAGAAAAATAAAACCATTCGTTTTACGTGCTGGACAAACGAAGGGCACTTTGCTCGCTGAAATAAACGAATTATAGTCAAGTTCGACCACCTAGGAGTCTTTCAAGATGCAACTGAAATGTCAATGACATGACAGATTTTGCAATGCTTCAGTTAAATGATACCTTTATATGTACCCACAATAGATATATAAGAACCAAACTCCACATATTCAAATTTATTTAAAAACTAAATTTCAGATATTAAAAATTACTTGAAAATGACCAGCTTAGTAGTAAATATCGCAGCATTAAGTCGACTAGTGATACAATATAATAAATGGAAGGAGTCCCCGACTGATGAAACACATAGCTACTGCAGTGCAATGCGAAATTGCACACAAGAAAAAGGTGCTGTACGACTAGCGGGTACTTTTTGCTTTTCAAAACTTTCTGCAAAGCTGCTGCGCAAGTTCCGCTTTGGCTTAGGCTAGTAATGAATGTCCACTTTTAATGTCTCCAAAGAAACATTGAGACACCCCACAAGTGTACAGTGCTTTAGGCGTTGCCGAAACATTTTGAAAAACCGCTTGCCACCGTTTTACTGATTCCCGACGTGCCAGACATTCGTCAAAAGTAAACGTAAAACAGTGGATTGCAAGTGTCCCGGCTGGTACCTCTGTCGTGCAATCATGTTCGCATGCACGTCAGGGCAACTTCGGCAGGCTTGCAGCTGCACGTGCTTCGTCGCGCGAGCGGAGGCGGCTGTTCGATCGAAACCGAAACCATGCCGATCCGCTCCGTCGCCAACTGGTTCCCAAAAATGTATGTAAAATGTAACTGCCAAGCATGCCACAAAAAATAGTTCAGCGGCGCGTGCTTGCAAGGCCGGCAGGCAAGGTACAAGCTAAACATACAAAAAAAAAAAAAAAAAGAACCTGAGCGCGTCGATGCAGGACATCGCGAGTCAGGGTCAAAACGTTCTTGGAGCGCTTTGTGCAACGACTGAACTCGAGACAAACAAGAGCGCTGTGCGGGTTCAGCCTGCAGACATTGCCTTCTTTGCTTTAGCTCACTTCTCTTCACCAACCTTCTTGAACGACAGATTTTTCATGTACCGGGGTCCCTCTCGAAAGAAAGCCAACCAAGAGAAACCTAGGTAATCAATACTTAGACACAGCAGTCTTCGAACTAATGAGGAATTTTTTGTAGTAGCGTATGTTTTAAACAAGAACAGAAATGTTGATGAACATGCGGCGGTACTTATGTTTCAGTTTAGGAAGCTCCATAACTGTAGCGACGTGCGGACTGGCAGGCAGGACCAAATATAGTTTTCCCACGGCCGTTGCTTGCAGAAGCGAGGGCTTCAGCTCAAAAAGTAACTCCCGCCGCGCAAAAACGTAATTTCGCTTCAGTGTGACGGCATGGCTGGTACCCAGCACGTTAGCGTCGGAGCGTCCACACACGCCCGCATCTATCGTAAAAAAAAAAAAAAAAAAAGCGAGACGACATTTACGAGACGACCAGAGCGCGAAAGAAGAGACGGCGGGAAAACCATGCGAGACCGGATGGGCGATTGATGTAACTAAAGCAAGGGTGCAGGCAAGCTGGTTCAATACTGAGATTGGAGTTTTTTACCTGTCCTACGTCCCTTCTTTTCCCCGGCTAAAGGGTTACAATGTCACGATTGATGCAGAGTACTTTGTGTCGGGTGGCCGCTTGCGCCACCTAGCTCACGCATACTCAGTTACGGTACTCAGTTTAGTTTCGGTTTTGAAAGGCGACCAAAGCTGGTACTTTGGCGCACGCTTGGCGCAGATTACCCATATTTTGGCGAAATGTAGCAGGATGTAGCAGGGTTAGCCCCTTGGCGCAGTTCGGCGCAATTGGCGCAGCAATCACATCACTGGAAATGCCCTCGTTCAATCGGGGTTATTGTAAATGACCTATTCATAAACTGGAACACCCAATTTAGGAAAGTGCCGTTTAGGAAAAGAGGCTTGGTTACTGTGATCAATGCTGTAATTTATTCTTTTCACAGCTTATCACAAACCCAGTTCCTTCGAGAATCTCAATGACTGTAATAGCTATGAAGACCCATAGTCTGCAGATATGTGCACCAGGCATTTTAGGAACTTTCAAGACACCAAGAATGCAGCCGAGCACACCAGACAGCTGGCAACAATTGTCATACAAACAAAAGTGTTTAGAGGGAACCCGACATTGCGCGAACCCATCAAATCTTTAGGATCAGACCAGTAAACCAATCTATGCTTCTATATATTTCGTTTCCTGTCACACGATCAGGCAACACAGTTTTTTTCCCCCTTGATTTCTCCGACCCAACAATAAATAAAAAGACAGGGGACACCTAAGCCCTTCTTACGAGAATGATAAAGCATAATGTCATTCTTCTGCTCCCTTAGTTCGTCTGCAGCGTAGTGGTGTGGGCGGCCACGTGTCAGTACTGCCGAGGTAGTCGCCAATGGTCGAGCGAGCGCTCTCGTGAGCCGTGCTGAGCTGAACTGTACAATCTCCTCAGAGTTCGCCCGAGCGGGCTCTGTGGCCAGCACCGCGCCGCCGCACCTCGCTGGGCCGCTGCATTCTCTGCACTGCCATGGAGAGGGCTTCTCTGGCAACGGCTTTTGGAACCAGACCGCACGAGAGCCAATGGGAGCCTCGTTCCTAGATGATACGCGCCAGCCGATGGGAGCCTATCCATCAAGGGCTTATTTCACTCCTTTTGAAGAGGTGAATTTAGCTGTCGTTTTGCGTGGCTTTTTGCGCGGCTTCAAAGCTGGAATGCTTCAGATAATACTTCACTTCGGTCCTTTGGGACAGGGGAATTGAGCTGCCATTTGGCGTGGCTGATCACGTCGGCGTGCTCTATGGGACCAGTTAATGCTTTCGCATTAAAAGGTTTAGTACAATCGAGTCACCGTGCCTCAGAGCCGTTTCTTTGCTATTTCATCAAGGAGCATACACTATTTGCAAACAATAAGACGAAAGAGTGGTGTCTACTGCACACAGCACTCTACCTTCCAAGTATTGTACTCTCCCCAGATGCAGAAAAAGTGACTAACCTTTGGTGTCTGTCCCTTCACCTTTCCGGCACGAGCGAGAGATCCGTGGACCTTTCCTGAAAGGAGTAACAGGGTGCATCGATCAGCAAAGAGAAATTTCACACTTGCACAGGAAGAAACACAGACAACCTGAATGCACAAACATGACATTTATAAATTTTAAATTGCCACTTGGTATCTGACGCTAAGCCGTCAGGCACGCTTTCAGACAGGACAATTTTCCAGCGATTTTGGGTGGCCGAAAAGTTGCTCTCTAGATTTCCACGCAGCAAATTGGGTCAGGCTCGAAATGGGTGAGCAGCTCCAACAATTCAGAGATGCCTCAAAAGGCAACAGCCAATAAGAAACGTAAGATTTCCACATGACCTCCCCTGTGGTTGTGGTGATACTTTCTGAGCATAGAATCTAACTTGTTCTGGTTTGTTTTGGAACTAAATAGTATTAGGAAGATAAGGTATTCTCAACACCATCCAACCCTTTTACAGTCAAGCTTTATTTTTTTTCCCACACAATGTTTTCCAGTGGTCAGGTTATGTTTACAAAGGAACATTATAAAGAAAGGGCCAATGCACGTTATTTCTAACTACCTATACTCCGCGACTTTTCTTGGCAATGCAGTGGAAGGTACAGGCCCGCGTCCCCTCTCCCATTTTGAGTGTGCGCGGGCTCTCCTCCTCTCCCCGGAATTGGGGGAGGAGAGCCTGCGTACACTTAAAATGAGAGAGGGGACGCGGGCCTGTACCTTCCACTGTATTGCCAAGAAAAGTTGTCGCGGAGTATAGCGGGCACACATACAGTGCTTACAAGCTTTTCAGGTTTAGAAGTATTGAATAGAAATATTGAAGGTGGTTTATAGAAATAAAAAGGAAGCGACCATTTCGTGAGATCACCACATGAGCGAACCATTCATAAAAATAATAAATAGCCCGAGCAAAGCGAACACTGCGTAAAGTGACCATATTCCTCAGGCCAGGGAGGGGGGGGAAGGGGAGGGGGTGGTAATAGTGTTGTGAGGCTTGAAAACTTAAAATTTTGGGAACAAATCACACCTTTTTAGTATTCAAATAGACGGTACAGATTTCTTTCCATGCACATTTAATAGATTTGGTTGGAATATTTCTTAAGTATTAATGCATTTATTTTTCCGGATAACATGCCCATAGTATCAGTGTCGTCTCTGCCAAGCGGATCTTGTACATTGTTCAGAGAAAGCACCCTCTCACTGGTGAGATTTTTTCGTCTAGCCACGTCTTTTCGAGATTCGGGGCAGACGAAGCAGGACAAAACACCGTCCCACAAGCACGCTTGCAGGACAGCGGGACCACGAACGGAAAAGCGGGACCTGTCCTGCCTAAATCGGGACGTCTGGTCACTTCAACGGTGCGTGAACATAAAGTTTATAGTTCACTCAAGACAACAGATAGCAACGCCTCTCCCAATGCACGTGGTTCTGCGTTTAGACAGGCACTTTCAAAAGTGTGATTGGTGTGTAACAACCAATCACACATCTGACAACCAATCACACATCATAACTTGGTGTATAACTACCATCAAAGGGTTAAAGACAAAATCCTGTTACTAATGAGTAGCTTTGTGTCAAAATGGTGCAAGCAAATTCCAGTATTAAGGACGATGACAGAACATATCAATTCAAGATTCAGTAGCTGCTGCACGTGAATGTGGGAGGACCGTGTTGCTGAAGTTGCAACGTCAAGACGCCGGGATAAACTGCTGTCTGAAGTGAAGTGCACTTACCTCCAAGGAGGGGCACGACGGCATCGATGCGGGAACCGTCGCTCAGACAGGCAGAGAGAAGTTCCTCGTCACTCAGGGGCTTGCCAGCACTGTACAGGCACTGGTCAGCAGCCGCAATGCCCTCTGCAGTCTGCAGGTAGTTCTGCGGGAAAACAAAGCAGTGTCCCGAGTTGAAACATTCCTCTCGCAACACAAAACCAAACAGTCGAAGAGAGAGGAATCTGTATAAATCTGTAGAGACGCAGTCATAATCGAGGCAATCCTCGACCACCTAACAGCTTACAAGGTGTTTGTATCCCTTACCTTCAGGAAGGCGACAGTCTCATCGCCAGTCACCTCGATGGCGTGGACTTCCTGACAGTTGAGGATGAGCTTCATTTTCTTGTTTTCTGAAATATGATTAGCGTTTCGTTCTCATACACTCCAACGCGGCTTTTCTTCTTGTAACGTAATGAAAGTGTGTCGCTCACAGGTGACACGCGGCTAGAACGAAACCCAGGTGTGAGGGCGCATCATTAAGCAAATAAATATTATCGGCGCAAGCAGGATGGGGGTGAGGGACGACAGAGCCCGAGCTTGAAGGATATCGGCTACTAGCGAGCAGTATCTACCCAGTTACATGAATCGCAGCGCAAGGTTGGAGACAACAGAACTCCTACCGCTGCACTTCAGCCGATAGTATCGGCTACTTGCCTCTTTCAAGAATTTTTGCCGATTTACAAAACAGAACGTCCACACATACGCAGCTCATCGAAAAAATGAAAAAGCTGCGTCAAGCAATGCGCGAAACCATGCCGCAAGGAATTAAGCCTAACGGAACACACGGGAGACTAACCATTTCAAATATTCCTCAGCACCGTTTCGATGCTTTCAAATAATTATTCTCATTTGTATAAATACCTCCTCTAGCGAATTAAATAAAATTTCATATCGCACGTACTCTCAAATAAATTATGAAAACACATACCCGGGAAGCGTGTAGCGAATCCTCAGATTGCCAACATGAAAGGAGTGAAAAAGGGGGCGCCTCGTGATTTTGGAGGGCGCTACAAGCGTGGGATCAAGGTGGCCTCTTGATTTTTATTATTTCGCCGTACCTCGTACCTAGCAGGCCACACACGAAAAGTTGGGATCATTGCCACTGGAACAAAAACAAAATGTAAAAGTATGAAGTAATAATAAAATAAATACTGTATTTTAAGTCTCTTTTATGGTAAATAAAAAATTTAAGAGTGCTCGAGCTTAGCTTTAGAACCGAAAGTAATGTTGGCAACGTGTACCACAAAATACATTCGGCCATTCATAGATGGCGCCACCCAATCCGTAGTTCGGTACAGTTCTTGTTTCGGTGTTTCGATCAGGAGTCTCCGAAGTCATGCCCGCGGGTCAGGTACGGCCCGCAGTGGCGTTCCGGCCGGCCCGCGAGTAGCCGTCGTCTTTACAGTGACGCCCGGCTCGCGGCCGCCAAACATGTAAATGTTAGAAGAATGGATATTTGGGCGAGTTGGTGGGAATTCACCGTAGGAAACAACGCGAAAAACAGACGAGGACGAAGAAGAAACACACGGGAGCGAGCGCTGACTATCAACTAAACTATTTTAATAGAAAAACACATGAAAACGATAATTCGTATGGTCGTTTTCATGTGTTTTCCTATTAAAATGTTTATATAAAACCACCATTATTATGTGTTTTCCTATTAAAATATTTATATAAAACCACCATTATTATGTGTTTTCCTATTAAAATATTTTATATAAAACCACCATTATTATGTGTTTTCCTATTAAAATATTTATATAAAACGACCATTCATCTTTTGGCAGTATATGCCAAAGATGAACTG